ACTTCTATCAGGCCAATGTCTCACATGTTAGCCACCGTTAGCTTAGCGTTATGCAAGGTCTCCATATTGTTGGCTGAAGCGAGAAGCTAAACCATAACTAAGTCAATCATATTCAATAACATTTTAAAGGGGGGGGGAGTCAAAGTCACACAGAGCAGTAGCGAGGAATTCAAAACACAAGGAACAGCAAAGACAAAGAGCAATAAAGAGAAGTGAACAATTTGAAGACAAATGTTAATATGCAAGTCGATGTGCTGTGTATGTTTGAAGTGTTCTCATGAATTTTGTGAACTTATATTCCACTGCCTGACAGTGACGTGCATTACATCTGTGCAGACTGGTGTGTCCTCTCCTCTGAGCTCATGTTGCATCAGTACAGTCTCATTAAAAAGTGAAGCTGTGTGAGTGTGATGCAAGATGTTACTCCGGTTATGCAACTACAATCTTCCAGTCTTAAGAGTTCTGAGGATTGTGCTCATTAATGACATCTGTGAATATTCATGAAAGATTTGAATCCAAACCAGACTTTTTTTTTAAACATAACTTGGATTCATGAAAAGTTTTAACTGGTATTTATCTTGCGTTCATAGTCTGCAAGTCTAAACAAGTGTGTCCTTTCTCCGCTCGTTCAGCCAGAAGATGTCATCAACCCTCTCTGCCGCCAGCGTGCAGTCTCTGCCTGAGAGCGCCGAGCAGAAGAAGCCACTGAAGCCGTGCTGTGCCTGCCCAGAGACAAAGAAAGTCAGGGATGCTTGGTAAGGACCTACCCTAGAGATGTGTGTGTCCCATAACATTTACAAGTCTGTATTGAGACCAATTTTTATTTTATTTCTCCCTGCAGCATCATTGAGAAGGGCGAGGACAACTGTGGAGGCCTGATCGAGGCGCATAAAGACTGCATGAGGGCGCTCGGCTTCAAGATTTAACTACTTCTACTTTGTGTGCGTGTGGTGCGTATCACAACAAACGATCATGCCTGTACACAAGCACGAGTAGATTTTGAGTTTTCAGCCTTTTGCCTGCCGGGTCGTTTGTGTCCTTCAGCTGTTACTGAATCATCCGTGAGTTAAAGCTGAACTGTCAGGACTAGAGTTCCTCTGCATGGCTGAAATCAGAATAATGCTCACCTGGATTTAAACTTACTTTGCCGCTGGAATAAATGAAAGTACTTTCACATTCATGTCGTAATGAAACAGTCCCTGACTCTACACACAGATTTTAAAGGTCAAAGTGAGATTGAATATTTAAAGGGCAAAAATTAAACTTTTTCAAAACCTAATGAAGATATTTGTGCTTAAAAAAGAAATGCAAGTGAAGGAATACTTCATTTAAACAAATTAATTTCATATTTTGAACCATTGTTAATGTTTCTTGGGGCTCAGTTCTAAAGTAAATTAGTCCAATTTGCCTTTTTGCATGTGCAGTAAATGCTCGGGTTGGACAACTTCTAAGTAAAAAACATAAAATAATATCAAGACTATTCAAATTTACTGTTCCTTATACATATTTTTTTCATGTACATGTGACTCACTGCTTGGTTGCCCATTTCTTCCTAATGTATGCGACATCCTTAGACGAAGGCCTGACCGACATTGGGGTCGAAAAATCAGATGACAATATACCAGCAGATATCTTTCTTAGCTCTGTAGAGAGATACATATACACATTTATTGCATTGATCCCTGAAACGCTTCTGGAAAAGATTTATCATGAGGACAAGATGGCCACTCCACTGAAAAGTAACTGCGCCTGACGGTGCATCACACTCTGGAGGGTGATAATGCTTGTTTTAACCCATAAAGCACAAATCTAGTCACTGGATAAGCTAAATTTGGCTGATTGTGTCAGCTGGACGATTACTCGCTCGATCTCTACTGTAGCCCAACATTAAATGAGTCACTCAGGTGTGTAATGAGCTCCTGCCCGTCCTGTGGACCTTTTTATAAATACCTGACTTCATTTAATTTAAGCCCTTCACATTTGCTGAAATGGAGGCATTAATTTCACCTACTCCACTTTCTCTCATTTTAATTTCTTTGTGCTGTTATACAATGACATAAATTCATTGTTGTGCTCAAACTGCACCGTCGGGCGAGAACATCATGTAACAAAGGGGCAGGGATGGGAGGAGCGCGTGTTTCTCTCTGTACGTGACTAAACATGAAACGTGCCTGAAGCCTTCTGGATCAAGTTGTGTATCAGCAGTTTACTGGCCTGGCTTTCCTTGAATCACCATAATGCTTGTTTGTTCCTGTGAATCAAATATGATTCAAACACTGCTTAAATCTATTAACAAATCGCTGTTAACTGAATATCAGTTTTAATTCCATTTAGTGTAAGTCTCATGTTTTCCTCCTCTCTTCCAGTGTTTTGTGAAGTGCAAGATGACCCTGGATCTTCTCACCCCCTTTCCCCTGCTTATTTATACCTTGACTAGAAGGGAAATGTGAAGATAGTGCACTTAAGTCTCTGCTGGGTTGATTGTCTTTTTGTGATTGTTTTTAAAAGTCTGCAAATGAGAAATGTGTGAATATCTAAAAATGCTGTGTGAAATTGAATAAAAGTCCTATGCAATAAGCCTTACTGTCTGCATCGTTATTTTCATGTAATGTTGATGTGCTTTAATCTGAAGGTTGCGTATTAAAGGGCCATACTCTGAAGTGAATCGCTGCTTGCCACAGTTGCTGTCCCTGGTATGCACTTGGGCTTAAAAATAACTCTTGACCCTGCAAAGTCAATACTTGGCATATCTGCATTCTTGCTCTGTAGTGTGTCACTCGTACTGAGGTGTGCCTGGCAGTGGGCACATAGTTTGACACATTCTGCACTTGTGTTTAGGCTGAATGTTAAAGCGCCAGCCATGCTCTAGTTTGGTTTTTGAAGTTGCACATTTAAGAACTGTTACCTGCTAGCTTAATCTAACTTTTTCGGTCCTAACCCTTTGCCAAGCATGTTCACTGACACACACAGCAAACATGACCAGACTTGTGCTCTCCAGAGAATGAGAAAGTTGTTCAGATGCAGCATCCATATTTCATCCTTAAAAACATTACAATAGTGCAAATAAAACACTGCCCTAGCAGCTTGACTGCAATTCCTTCAAAGCCCACAAGGGGTCCCATTACATCACTTACGGAGTCTGCGCTACATGATCACTTTGACTGTCGCTTCATCACTTAAGAGAGATACTAACCTCCAAAAAAAGTTTGGGAATGTTATTGGTCAATTATTTCGACCCTTTAATAATACTGATTGGTGTCGTATTTTATATCGTCGGAAAGCCTGATTAGTCACCTTTACGAGGTATAACTTGTAAGGATTGTGCATTCGTGGAATGTGCAACACAGCTAAACGTGTGGGTTGCGCCCCAAAAAAAATGTGCCAAAATCCCCTGCAATGTTCTTCTGTTGGTTTTGAGTTGCTTGGTGGAATGGATGATTGCACTCTCCCACAGTAATAAGCTTTTTACAGTTCATTCATTTTACACAGTCAGGGACCTCAGCAGTGTGAGGAAGATCCATACAGAGCCATGCTGGTCACTAGCCTGGTCTCATTTTGCTGTGGGACGGCATCCCATTCCTCAACCAGGAGTTGTTGAAGGTCAAACAGCGTGGTTGTGTTGGTCACTCTGGCATGAACAGCACGCCCAAGATGATCCCACAAGTGCTGTCAATCAGTTGCCACTCTTACACCTGTAACTGGCACACACCTGGCAGCACTTGAAGCTCAAAACAGGAGTGAATACCAACAGAAGAACATTGCAGGGGATTTTGGCACATTTTATTAGGGCGCTACCCACACGTTTAGCTGTGTTGCACATTCCACGAATGCATGATCCTTACAAGTTATACCTTGTTAAGGTGACTAATCAGGTTTTCCAACAATATAAAATACGACCAATTAGTATTATTAAAGGGGCGAAATAAGTGACTGAAATAACGTTTCCAAACTTTTTTTGAGGAGTTTATTTCAGTACTGTTCCTGTACTCAAATTCAAGATGAACATTTTAGGTATTTCAATTTGAGCTTTATTGTAAATAGTGTGGCTTTTAACTTAACCACTTGCTTTCAAAAACTATTTGTTCAGCTGAAGGGAGACAGGAAATGTTGGGAGGAGAGAGTCGGGGATGACATGCAGCAAAGGGTAGAGATTGGATTTGAACCCACGGCCGCTGCAGAGAGGACTAAAGCCTCTGTACATGGGGTGTGCGACATAACCGCTAGGCTACTGGAACCCTGTGTTTTTATATATTTTTTAAAACTGGAAACCATTTCAACAGCCTCTAATTGAAACCTGCCTTTTTAGTCTTCAAAATCAACCAGGGACTGGGAGTTAAATTGGGATTGGTCTTTTACTTGAAGTTTTAGGGTATGTAGGATCTTGAGCGGGCCGGTAACTCATGGGGGTCTTATTCTTTCTCTGCCAGGATAAAAAAGTGATCAATGAAGAGAATCCCTGTGTCACAGAGTCATTTAAAACTATCCCAACACAACGCGGAATTATTGTCTTTGCGTAATTATTAAGAGAAGAATGAAGAAAAGAGAAGATTTAATATTGAACTGAGCTGCGAGTCCTCCTCGCTGAGAGGACAGGAGGATATGTGAAGCTGGAGTGCTGTTGGAGGGTGTTTATACCTGAAATCTGACCTGCGCCGTCTGTGGCTCTAAATATGCACCGTCTAATCTGCCCTCCTGTGAGTAAACTTGACTCCGACAGGTTTGGTTAGAGAAAGAACTTTGTTGTTGCTGTGCAGAAACTTTTTTGAATGTGTGACACTCTTCAAGATATTTGTGATAGTCCCTCTCCTCCCTCCCGTTTCCTGCCTCTCTCTCTCTCTCGCACTCTCTCTCGCTTTCTGTTATGTTAAGTAGCAGGCCTGCTTTCTGTCCACCACTCTCTCCTCCTTGGGTTTCAATTCCAAACATGGTTATCCTTCTAGGGCTCTATCGACGCCCCCCTCCCTTATCCCCGCTCCTCCAGCTGTTGGCTCCACAGTGCAGGCCGGTCAGTTGGTGGCTGAGAGAAAAGGCAGAAAAGTGCACTCGACAAGAAGACTCAGAGGGGACAGAAGGTGCGACAAGCCAGAGGGGAGAGAGAGAGAGAGAGAGATAGAGACAGAGACAGAGAGAGAGAGGGAGGAAGGGGACGCATAATGAGAGAAGAAGAAGAGCCCCATTCCAGCTGTGTTTCTAAAACAAACAGAGCCGTGAGAACTTCTTCATATTGAAGAATTTTCAGCTGCAGGCCAAGGGAACAAATATTTACCTCTGACATTTTTTGATCGACTTTGGCTGTTTATTTTTAATCAGGATTTCATTCAAACAAAACATCTTGTTGTTAGTGTTGCTCGGACAGAAATAGGTCCAAGTTTCATTTGGATATTTTTTTTGGCCATTCTTCAGGAGCCTCTTTTCAGCTTGTTGTTTTAAACATGAGCACAGAAAACTCGACTCTTCTGGACAGCTTGTTCTTTGCTCCTCTTTGCGATGGCTGGACCAACAACACAGAGGGAGCCATCTACCACTTGGGAAACACCATGGTCTTCCTCGGCTACATGGGAGGCAGCGGGGCCTACGGGTGCCTCTTCATCTTCGGCTTCCTCACCCCAGCCTTCCTGTGCTTGACCGTGTGGGGCTGGATCACCATGTGCGGCCTGGACGTCTTCACCTGGAACCTGCTCCTGCTGCTGGCCTGCCTGGCTCAGATCTGCCACCTCCTCTGCCGGCTGCAGCAGGAGGGCATACCCAGGGAGGAGCTGTCCTCCCTCTACCAGGCGGTGTACCTGCCGCTGGGCGTCCCCGTCCAGGTGTTCAAGGACATCGCGGGTGCCTTTGAGAACAGGGTGGTGGAGCTGAAGGCGGGAGAGACGTACGCAGTGGAGGGAAAGACATCAATCGACCAGCTCTCCTTTCTGCTGTCTGGGAGGTGGGCCGTGTGTGAACATCTTCACTCTATAGCAAATAATGCAAACCACAAAGATTCTCAACACAGAATGCGACTAACAAGGGCTGTGAAAACACATCACAGCCATATGCCTTTCGTCCTAACTCCTGCATTTAACTATCGAATCGCTAGCACCAAATATCGATATGGCAATTTATAAATAATGTGTTGTGAACAGATTTCCCATCAAATTGCCTCATCAAGTTCCTACTTCATGCTTCTTTGCTGCCGCAGTAAAGAAATGAATCCTGCACATTTATGGGCATTTTACTTTCTTTAGTTAATAGTCAATTTATTAAGTCACTGTATGTTGTTATCGTCGGCCAAGTATCAGGTATAGTATTATGTGTGACTCCATGCGATTCCCACCCCCATAACTAACACACTTGACCTAAAGTGGTAACACCACACTGAAAGATTTGCTTGAACCCTGCAATGACGGATCGGATATATTGTGCTTTTACAAGTTTTAAAAACAAGCTTAAAACACAACAAATCCCAGATTTATCGTAACCTTTTCATGAATCCAATCGAACGTTGAGCCTCCAGGTTCATTTTTAATTTCCCAGCAATGTTATCAAAGAGCGCAGAGCACAATGCACCGAGCCGCTTTAGATAATCAGTTGAAAAATAATGCCTTATAGCTTTTGGCTTGAAGGCTACAGCACAGTTACAACGTGCGGTTTATAAAGCTTCTAGTTCTGATTCGTTTGATGTAAAAGCCAACACTTACCGTCAGCAGCAGCAGCCATCTTGGTCCCTTGTTCAGTCACTGTCATAAACCAGTCCCTTATTAAATAACCTGTTGTTACCTTAACTGTACACACAAACGGACGACACGTCTCCACCGCCTCTTGTTGTGCAAAACTGAAGCTAAAATACCCCAGGGGACAGACGCTGGCATCTTGTGCTGGTGACATCAATTGGACCCAGAATCTGCATGGTAGAGATTGGCTGTTGGAGCCGTCATATTCTTCTGCTAATGGAAGCGCACGTTTCATTTACAAACTAAACGGCGAAGATCCCTCAGGTCAGTACAGTCCACAGCAGAACAGATTCTCGTGTCAGTTTGAAGCAGACACTCACGGTTATAGAAAGATCAGTGACTGTTGTCTGGACTCTCACAGTGTGTCACCGTTCCTCCTGCATTCATCAACAGAGCTGTCAATCATAGCATCAAACTAAACGACTCAGAAAAATGAACACTGTCTGGCATGAATCAGAATTATAAGAACTAACTATAATGACAGAAACCATGTTTTAGATGAATGTATTTGATGTGTATGTTTTGATTTTCTAGTGTGACCCTTGTCCCATCTGTTAACATGGAGATGGCGGGCTTTATGACCTTTACTGGCCAGTAGGAGTTGATGGAGACGTTTTGGCTTCCTTTTTGGGAAGCTGTCATTTAATCCATCTTTGGACGAAGTCTTTATGGTTTAGTGGAATTAGTTATATTACGTGATGCATGTGCCGTGCGAAAAAAACATGAGCCTGCCGAACCGCTGGTCCACAGGCTAGATGACAGAGTCAAGTCATGTTTATTTATATAGTAGCACATTTCAGCAACAAGGCATTTCAAGTGCAGGAGCAAAACAACAGTCAGCTAGCAGTTCTTTACCCAGACATGTAGCAGACATGAGCATTCAATTGTAGTTGCATTTGTGGCCATTGAACAGATGTAAACTCAATATTAACTCTCATTTACATTTGTTGTGGTCTCTAATAGGAAGCCTGCTAAATACTTCAGTTTGTGCAGTAGCTACTGTAGCTGCTAGCTTAGCATGTTTGTAGTTTGGCATTATCCCAATAGCACACAGCCAGTTGCATGTTTTCTGCAGGATTTAGTCACATTAGTATCTCGTTATAATGTGTGGTGTTGGTTTAATTTCCTCATGTAGTTAAAGAAGAACACCCATTGTTTTCAGGAAAGCTCCCATTTTAACCGACGCCTGCTGATCTGTGTTCCTATTTCTGACTCTTTCATGCTGTTGGCAGCCTGTAAGTGTAACAGGAAGCGAATCCTCTTCATCCAAACATCCTCAGAGTAGAGCTGCATTACATTTCACAGTCCTGGAGCCGACACAAGAGAAATGTTGTAAACAAAGTATTTTTGTCTGTGACTCACGACTGTGCCGTCCCCCCTGCACGCTGCCAGCTGGTTCAATGATATCTCTGTAGTCGGGACGGGAGCAGGCACCGACTGCTGCTTTTAACTTAAAGTAAATGTTGGCAGATGACAACTTCTGGACGAGCCAACGTCAGAACAACAGACATAAAGCTTGTGATTTTTTTTCCCCACAGCTTTAAAATGTTTACTTCTGTAACTGTCTGACAAACTTATAAAGTACATCTTCATAATTGTAGGAAAAGCATCAGTGGTTAGTCAACTACGTTTTCACAGTAGTGCTTTAAACGTGTAATAACATATTTCCTATTACAGATTTAAACAATACCAAATGGCTCAAACACAATTTGACAAACTTTATGCTGATTTTTATATTTACTCTACTAAATTTTTGTGTTTTCTACTCAACCACATTTATTGTCCAGCCTTGGCTCGTAGTAACATTTCAGATCAGCTAAAAGGTTATGATGTATTATATAAAGAAATTAATCCTAAAAGTCTGCAACCTTTATGATGCTTTTACATTTTTGCATTACTTATTGACAGTACATTTTGATGCAAATTGATTTGTTTATTTTAGGCTGGATGCACACAAGACGATTTTTAAAGTCTTAACCGATTAAAAAAAAAGGTGGGAGACTACCGACATAAGAACAGTTTCAACAAATTTTTAACATTATAATCCTCCAAACACACACAGTCGATGATTTGCCACAGACCACGAGACAATGCCGTCTGTATCACACAATTACACAGTGGCGATTCAATAGACACAAGAGCCTTTTCCCAGGCGGCCCTATTGTGGTATGTCTTGAATGAGACATTATAAAGGCACTTATGTCGTTGCCATGGTTCCACAATCTGGCCTTTTTTTCCCTCAATATTCCACCTGGAAACATATCAGCTGCCATGTGTGTGAGCTGTAAAAGTATGCGACATCCGGTTGGTGACGCTTCCTGGTCTGCTCGCTCTCATTGGCTACTATTGTGTCTGAGGCAGCCCAATCTGGAATAGGAGCTCGGACTTGATCAGGATCAGGGCCGCACCTTAAATCATGTAGTGTTTAGCCAGCTTAAGTGAGATATCAAATAGAAGATGTTTATATGATGTGATTATTTTTAAAACCTGTGATTACTTCTTTTACTTATAGTAGATATTACATGCTGCGCAGATGTCCACTAATTACAAGTTTACCTATGTTTGAACCTTTGACTGTTTATAGAAATGGACAACGCATCAATGTGCCTCACAAACTTTAGAGGTCAAAAACTGACATGGGGCTTTAAGGTCTGGCTCAGAGTCGGCCTTCAAGCTCATTCAGGAGGTGTTAGAGTCAGTCAAAGCAACACCAAACTCAGAAGCCCATTCCCTCAGACATTTGTTATTCTCCCCGTGTTTATTATCATTAAAGAGAAGAACAGCCTTCCTCAAACTATTGCCTCAAAGTTGGAAGCAAATGAATGTCTTACATACTGTTATATTCTTTGGCCTTTAGAATTCAAGGAGACTTTACCCTGCATGTAAAGCAAAGACAAGGGTGTCTAAATGTTGTTTCCTTTGCCGTGTGTGCCACAAAGCAGAGCACCAGCTGTACCGTGACATTTTTAGCACGGTGCTCTCCAGTGGAAACCCCTGCTTCTGATAGTGTGAAGTGCTGTACAGGAGAATTAACACTACAGCATGCAGAGAAATAGCTGCTAATTTACACCCAGAGTTATGAAGGGTCTAAATAAAGACTGTGAGTTTTTAAAATGCTGCAAAGAGAAGCTCTATTATCAACTAATGCTCTAGTAGATTTGTCATCTATCTTTAAATGTCTTTGTTGGATCAGTTTATAGTGTCTGATGATTAAACTTCTCATTATCTGTCTTGGTTTTATCCTTTGTTATTGGCAAATCTGCTGTACAATAAGCTTCTTGCTTTTCTTCAGATGAATCTCGGAATAGAAGCTTTTTTTAAGAACTATTTCCTGGAAAGCCGACTCTTTTGACGTAATCCATTGAAGGATTTAGTGTTCAGAGTGCTGGGTTATCTCAATCTGCGGAAGTTATTCTATTTCTAATCAAACCTCTCCTGATGTTTGAAACGATAACTTTTCAGTGCAGCAGGAATCCTGGCATAAAAAGGAATCTTGGTTTAGCTAATTATTTTAAAGATGATGTTTGTATGCAAATCTTCAATTGGATGAGAATTTCTTCGGCCTGGCTCTGCAGAGTGACCTCCGGCTCTTTCTCTCTCCTCTCATCATCACTTCTTAATCCCAGTCTCTCTTTTTGACCCTTTATCTCTCTCTCTCTCTCTCTCTTTAGGATCAACGTATCTCTGGAGGGTCAGTTCCTGCACTACATCCAACGCCACCAGTTCCTCGACTCTCCGGAGTGGGAGTCTCTGAGACCAAATGAGGAGGGACAGTTTCAGGTATGAGACTCGACATGCAGTCCATTTCGGGAGAGTTGAATAAGTGACTGCAAGGTTAAAAGTCTCAAGTGTTCCAGGAAACTGTAAGAGCCAAACGAAATGGTGTAACTGGAAAAGAAAACCACTCTCTGGTCTCAAGTTGTCTTTTATCGGACTCTTCATCAGAGTGATCAGCTGAACAGGAGAAAGTAGTCCAAAGTTGGAAGTGACTGTTTAAACTTTGGCAGCACTAGCACTACTACCTGTTAATCCTTGTGTAATCCTGTAATCCTTATGCTAAACTACGCTAACCACATGGGGTCATCCCTATATGTTCCCTCAGGCCCATGTTCCGTCATTTCTATGAAATTTCCCCGACATCAAAATCAGGCCCTATGTTCCCTCATCCAGATGTTCCCTCGAGAATCCCCCCCCCCAAATAAGGCCCTATATTCCCTCAGCCCGATGTTTTCTCATGCCTGCATTCCCCCAGCATCTGGGCTGGATCTTCTATAATGCACATAACATGTGAACACACCCTGAAATCAAAGCAATGAAAGCAAATCATTTGCTCAAGAAAATTTTCAACTCAACTGAACAAGGAGGTGACGAAAGTGAGGCAAGTAATAAACTGAGGGCTGAGGGAACATAGGACTGAGGGGACATAGGGTAGAGGGAACATAGGGCTGAGGGGACATAGGGCTGAGGGGACATAGGGTAGAGGGAACATAGAGCTGAGGGAACAAAGGGCTGAGGGAACATAGAGCTGAGGGAACATAGAGCTGAGGGAACATAGAGCTGAGGGAACAGAGAGCTGAGGAAACACAGTGTTGAGGGAACAAAGGGCTGAGGGAACATAGAGCTGAGGGAACATAGAGCTGAGGAAACACAGTGTTGAGGGAACAAAGGGCTGAGGGAACGTAGAGCTGAGGGAACATAGAGCTGAGGGAACATAGAGCTGAGGAAACACAGTGTTGAGGGAACAAAGGGCTGAGGGAACATAGAGCTGAGCGAACTTAGAGCTGAGGGAACATAGAGCTGAGGGAACATAGAGCTGAGGGAACATAGAGCTGAGGAAACACAGTGTTGAGGGAACAAAGGGCTGAGGGAACGTAGAGCTGAGGGAACATAGAGCTGAGGGAACATAGAGCTGAGGAAACACAGTGTTGAGGGAACAAAGGGCTGAGGGAACATAGAGCTGAGCGAACATAGAGCTGAGGGAACATAGGGCTGAGGGAACACAGTGTTAAGGGAACACAGCTCACCCACAAATCAAACAAAATGGACTAACTTAAATAATTGACACGACTAGTGAGAAACTTCAAATCATCAATATTTAAGTATTCCCTTCACTCATACTCCACAGGTGACCCTAACAGCGGAAGAAGACTCCCGCTACATCTCTTGGCGTCGCCGTCGTCTGTACATGCTGATATCAAAGGAGCGCTACATCGCTCGTCTCTTCTCCCTCATGCTGGGCTACGACCTCGCCGAGAAGCTCTACAACCTCAACAACAAGCTCTACATCAAGACCGGCGTGCTGCTAGACATCCGCCTGCCCAGCCTCTACCACGTGCTGGTCCCCTCCTCGCAGGGCAGCGAGGGCGGCAGTGGCAGCGACAGCGGCTTCAACAAGGAGCACCGGGGCGATGATCCAGCACCAGCCTACCACACGTTGGATCCAGTTCAGTTTCAGCCTCAGGGACCAAGAAAGACCACCCAGGATGACACCAAGGCCCCCCAGCATGACCGTCACCAGCACCCGTGGGCATCAGACCCGGACCTGCCCTCTGGTGAGGACTCTACCAGCCTGGTCCTGGAGGACTTTGCTGATGTGGCGGGCTCCTTAACGGATTATGGCAGTGAGAGGGATTATTTGAGGTAGAGGGGGCAGGGTGCTGGAGCTAACACACTGGGTCACCACTTAAGCTACGTGTAAGTACCGCACCTGGGCAGAGGGGGGTGCTGTGTGTGCATGGAAGGCTTGCAGTGCACATTTCTAACTAACCCGGCTTTTTGACACGAGAGAGCAGGGCTGGGCATCAGTAAATTAAGAAAGGATGTAATATAGGACTCTCATTTAGAACAAAAGTCGTCATCAAGTATGCATGTATTACAGTACTGGTACTTTTATTTGAATGCCACTATTGGCTTGCTGGTGAGCTTCACAATTGGATAGCTGCAATGCATTGTGGGGCGGTTTAGTATGACAAGTGTGCTCCCTCATCATACTTAAAAAAATCTGGCCAATCTAGTATACATCAGGGCATTTGTCGCACTCAGTGTGGCGTCAAATTAAGTATGAATAGTATGAAAGTATGTGGTTTTGGACACAGGCTTCCCATCAGACCCTGAAATGGCTGTGCCCCTTAAAGGCCCAGTGAACGGGCCCTCGTCAAATTCAATTTTATAATATTAACTCATGTGTGTTGGATCAGTGGCATTAGCCTCCTCGTCCTCACTGCCATTGGCCTTCAGAGCTGAATTAAAAAAGTTTGTTAACAAGTTATTGTTGGGCTCAAATGCTCTTTTTCTTCTCTTTTCATTTTTAGCTTCACAAATTTTGTGCAGGTCTCGGCATGAAAATACACAGTTTATTATTACTGGCGTAACACTTAAGTTCAGTGGGCCCTACCCCTACCCCTACCCCATGAAGTTAACATTACAAAAACGTTTAAAAGAGGGGGTTTAACTTTTGCTTCAATCTTAGAAGGACCATGTTTTCGATGACCTCCATGGGGCCCAGCTGCTTTCCCCTATTCCCCCCCTTATGGACGGCCTTGTTTCCCACATCCATTTCTTAATCCAGTTTAACATAACTAATGGACGTTGCACCTTAAGACAACTACAGTCCATTGTTTTCAACAAAGAAGAAATGCCTGCAGCCATCTCCATTGTTTCTCCAAGAAAATGCCTCAACTGCACTTCAACCTGCTCCATATTAGACCGATGTTTAAGATTGACCTTACACGATTCAGGTCATATGAAAATGTGTTTGAATACGAGGGGATCCAAACCTCATCTGCCAGAGAAAATAAAACATGAGCAGTTTTTGTCTTGTTCCCAGGCTGAAAACATGTTCCAGCCTTAGCTGTTATGTAATTAACTTTTCTGGTTTGTTTTTGTTTGTTTATTTTATATCCACAATCTGCTCTTAATTCTGCCTGCATTTTGCACAAACAAATCAAAAGTGGTTAATCAATGTAATTCCAAAGCTTTCAGGGAACTACCAAACTATTTGTAGATTTAAATTATTTTCCTCCCAGGCTCTTCATCGTTGAGTTATGTGGATTATTAGTCTATTTCCACTCAATATTTTAAGATTTAAACTCCCTGCCAGCTGCTCTGAATCTGTTTGCTTTGGCTCTGCTTCTCATAAGCTTGCAGTCATCTTTGCTACAGTAGCAGAGTTAAATTAAAGGGGAAAAGCACTATAGCACCAAATGAGTGCTGCGTTTCTTGGTTGTTGTTTCAGACAGCTGATGAGGTCCAGCATGCTGCTGTAATTTGTGTGTGTGTCCTGGGTAGGGGTTCGACATTGAGCCCGACGGCAGCTGTTTTTTTTTTTTTTTTTTTTTTTATCTGATAAGGATTACGGCCTGGTAATTTAGGGGATGTCCAAATAAATGCAGTGCCATGTTATTAATCCAATGTGCCCACCCTGTAAGCAGTGTGTCTGTAAATTCCTTCATCCCCTCCTCAGCCCCGCCCGCACTCTGACCGTCCCAAAATCAGCCCTCGACCAATCAGAAGTGGAGGGTCAAATTTCATAGCTGGATGGTGGTGGGGTCAGTGCAGGGTTTGGGTTGCAGGGGGAGCTGTAAAGTCTATCACAGACAGTAGTAGCACAACTTAACAGGTGGTGTAAAATAACATCACTTTAACTAGAACCTCACACTTTAGACTAGAGTGTAATGCTACTTCATAGACAGGGGTGTGTCCAGACTTTTTGACTGGGGTGGCCCAACTGAGGCATTGAGGGGTGGCCTGAAGTATACGTGAAAAGCATTTAATCACCCTTTTTGATGATATGTACTTTAGCTACAAACATTGAAGTATCATAAAGACCTTCTGGAGAAGAAATCTCCAAACGGCCTGTTTGAGCACACATTTACTGAAAAGTGGAGCAGGCAAAAGACAGAGAGGATGGACTTTTCCCATCATTGGGGGGTTTGTAGACAGACTAGGGACACATATTAGTTTACAAAATACAAAGTGTATTTTGCATAATATATGAAATTTAAATTATGACATGACATGACTCAAGTGTGAATTAGTAAAATGACAACTTCCAGCTCAAGTTGTTTGATGAATTTAAACTTCTTTGGGCTCGTTTCACTTGTTCAATATATCTTCTCGCTAGTGTAGAAAAACACATTTCAGTTCCAACACAGATTGAATTGGCACAGCAGATCTAACTTGTATCATTACCTGTCATGTAATCAGGACGTCAGCGTGAACACACTCCAAACTGCCTCCTAACTGAAGTGTCCTTGTTGACTCCGCAGGAGATGACAGCGACAGACATGTTCCACCTCGTTTCCAGAGAGGCAGAGCGCCGCTGGCTCCCACCGACACTCCCAAACTGTGAGGACAGTCTCTCCTGGAAACACTTTAACTACTTTATTATTTACAGCTTAGCAGTATGAATGTCTCACATGTCACCTGTGATCTGTGTGTCTCTCCCTGTTCTCACCTGAGTTCATCTCCTCTTGGACATGGCCTCTTTCTATTCTTTATTTACATTTGTTTTTTGTAAAAGGAAAGCCATTACGATATGATTAATAAATCAGTACAAGGAGCCAATATTTGCCACTTTATAAACTGAAATAAGGACAAATCAAAAGGCCAAATTTACGATTATAAAGCCTTTAATCAACCTTTTGGCCACCTCAAGAAACTGTGATCTGCCTCAAAAAATCAGTTTCTTTCTCTGAAGGATCGGGGAACTCACTTCATTTAGTTAATCAGATATGAACTCACATTTCTATGATGTGTTTCTGTTGTTGTCGTTGTCATGGAGAAACATCTGTCCAATTAAAGACAGATATTGTAACTTCCAGATGTATAATATGACGTTAAAGGTCTGCCAAAAGTAAGTCAAGTCACCACTGAGGACAACCTTCACCTTGTTACTTACAGTCACAGAATATGTCCAAAATGTAAAAAAAAAAAAAAAAATTAGGGCTGCACAAAATCTGAACAAAGCTGACTTTGCGATATCTTCTCTTTCTGATTTAGGTACAAAAAAAAAGAACTCCGCTCCGTTCATTCTCTCTTCAGGGCTGGAAGTTTATATGCCTGAATCAATCCTGAGGTGTTTCAGGGTTTGAAGTGTTTGTTGTCTAAGACGGAGCTTCACAGTTTCTCATTTTCAGCATGACACTTTCTGCATTAGTCGGACACTCTTTTACATCTTTGGGGAAATGTTAGATGCCTGTAGATCATGTTTTTTGTACATTTTTGATTGAGAGTTTAATACACACCTGTATACTGTGAAATACATTCATTGCCTGTTATTTACTTCTTTTTGAGTGAAATGAGATTGAAATGTACAAAATCCAAATTGTTTAAAATATTTCAATGGGGCCAAGATTTCTCCATAAACTGAGTGTGTGCAGTGGACGTGTAGTTTGTTTTCTTTGACTTTTTCCTCCTTCTTATATCTCACATGACCCCCAAAACAACCTGATCAAACATTAACAAATTTTCTTTCTTCTTGTCTGTGACATAAAAATATCAAAGTGGTTCCCATCAACGTGTTTCCGGTTTCTTTTGATGAGCGGCATTTTTTTGTTTTGTTCCGTTTTTGCTGAAGTTTTGCTTTGAGAAAGATTTATCCCAGAATCTGACAAACAAATGATATTATATAGTTTTAGCAGACGAAGAAAAGCACAGTGAGCAGGTTTATTGCTTTGCTTTAAACGACAAACTGAATTCAGCAGCGCTACATTGAAAAAACACTTTCACCTGAAACATCCTAAAACTATGTCATAGAAAAAAGTTGTCAAAGAAGAAAAACAAAGGACAAGACTAAAAACAAACTCTAGATGCATGACATACATGACTGTATCTGACTGATGGTATGGTGTTATAGGAAGTCAGTTGGGCAGCATATTAACTTAACAGTGAAGTAAATCTAGACTGCGGTGGGTTTGTTAGTGTAAAAATGTAAGCTTCATCTGAAAAATAAGACGTATTTCTTTGGCTTCACCGGCTGAGATTTGAATCTGTGATCATCTTCATTGACATTGAAAGAGGTGTTGAAAACTGACTTCTTGTTGAGGACTTCACCGTAGAGTGTTTCTTTTGTCAGTGTCGTGTCTTTATTAGTAGTCGCACACCTGCACAAAGTCATGAAACCACGGAGCTCCTCGTCTGATGTGGAAGTTGTTCACACACAGCGGCACATCTTGCCTGAAACAAGAACAGTTACAAATTTGTAACTTTAACAAAAGATTAGAAACATTTAATTGATCCCCCATTCTGGGAAAATGTGGTTGTTACAACAGCTCAAAAATACAGGAACAGAATCAGCAAGAAAATGCTTGTACAGTAATTTTAATTACTGTAAAAAAAAATTGTAACTAGATAAAAAACTAATAAAATGTCACTGCAAGGAGTGCAAAACATTGGAGTTTTGCTTCGTTTCCCATTCATAAAAATAAATATTGTTGCTGTTACTCAGTCCGCCATGCAGACAAGAACACAAATGACAAACTGTTCTTGATCTGTAGCTTGTGTATTTCATCTTTTATGAGGCGGCTCAAGAGAAACAGACCTGGAGGCTGTTTGGTTTCCAAAACCGTAAATGATTTACAGTTTACAGACACATAATATCTCACAGGAGTCTGTGTGGGAAATTAAACAGAGAGCAGTGTGTGTGTGTGTGTGTGTGTGTGTGTGTGTGTGTGTGTGTGTGTGTGTGTGTGTGTTCATCATATTCAGATAATGCACCTGTTGGAGGGGAACTCAGAGACACACACAGACTTGACGTGGATGTCTCCCTGCCTGTAGAAAGCTCCAGTGTTCTTCAGCTCAATGGTTTGGATCTCACACAGAGGCAGCGGGTGAGTCAACACCGTCCTGTACATCGTCGTATCTGTCCGACTGAAAACAAAACATACACTCATAGCATGTCAGAAAACACAAGACAGACAGACACACTTATAGCTAAACAACATTCATCACAGAGGACAGTTATTACCTCCTGTGTTGAACAGAGCGCTGCGACAGACTGACTGCTACATCTCACATCATTTTTATCAACAAGCTAGCGCATGAGCTAATAAGGTTTGCAATAATAGTTTTTGCAATCTTGCAATAAAGTGAGCAAACAAACAGATGAAAAAAAGTGTTATACGCCCTCCTGAACTGAAGTAAACCTCCGCATGGGCACATTTCCTGCAGCTGTAGGCTGCACCTGGCCGGGCCTTTACAGTGGAGCACCGTACAGTAAATCTTCTCTTGAAATAGAATCTGTTTGCTCAGCTTTTTTTAGGTTAAACAAAGAGAGAGAAATAATAAATATGAGGTAAGGCTGCCAGCCAGTGGGACTATACAGAGGGAGTCAAAAATAATGCTGAAATCCTCAATTTAGCTCCTCTTAAATTTCTAATTGATGGTGATAGTTTTGATTTTGGGATTGGTTTTGGGAGTGCAATAACAAAATGTCCTCATATTTGGGGATTAAAGGGACAGGTGTAGCTGGTAAACATTAGGAAAAAGTGATACAGTTATGGCACACATTTTTTAGCTGGGATTAGTGAAGGATCAAAATAGGTTACCATAGGTAGGTTATTAATAAGTATGTAAAAAATATGCATCAGACATAATGCTTGCACGCTGTGAGTAAAGAAGTAGGTTTTTTTTTGCAAGTTAGACACACGTTAAGATAAATCGACAAAAACATTGATAAGAAAGAAAGAGGAAAACCTGCTGTCTGTCGGTGACCTATACATCACATAAAATAAATCAGGATAAGTAAAAATACTTAACAGTAAAAGTGTTGCTTTTCATTCATTTCTAAACAAAGTTAAATTCACCAATGTGACCAAACCTTTTAAATGTATACACCATAACAAAGATTGTACGTTGACGTTACTTTTGGTACCTACAGTCTGAGTCTCTGTTCTTTCCTGAGGCTCTCCGTCCTCAGTGTCACCTCGACCTCAGCGCTCTTATCCAGAGGAGAAACCTCCAGCCGCAGCAGGATGTGATGAGCTGCGCAGAGGAACAAAATATTAAAAAATAAAGTATAATGAAGTACTTACTTAAAAAAAAAAAAAATCTTCTCAAAGGAAGGTAAGGCACAATAAAATGTATGTGCAGTCTGAAGTCTGACTTTGCATTAATAAGTGACAAAAACGAAACCATGATAAGCACTCAGAAACACATCTTTCCTACCGTCCTTACTCTAAACTAAAACCAACACCTGGATCACATTAGTAGGCGACAAATTTCGTCAAGCTAGCTAGCAACAATAATTTCCTCTTAGATAATATTTTGCAAGCCGAAACGTTTGTATACAAGCAGCTTAGCAAGCTTGCTATAAACTATGACAAGCTATATGGCTTAAACAATATCTTGTGTTGTAACAAACATAGGCCTAGATGTTAAAATGAATTTACAAACTGTCTTAGCTAGCTAGCAATAATTCTAGATTAGTAAACTACGGTTAGCTAATTAAACATAAATTGAATACCTTAGTTTTCCCCTGACATTAGACAAATTATTTAACTACCCCTGAAGTACTAGAAGAGCGGCTATATTCAAAAACTAATATTAATTTGCAGCTAGCTGGTAACTATCTTGTAACAAAGCTAGTAACTAAACTGTGCTACATTTAGCGTAGTTCATTCTAGTGCAATAAAAGACATCACTTTAATGTCATTCTTGGCCTGAAAGACTTCACAAAATGTCCTTTCTTGTGCTTTGAAATGGACTTTTGTGTTGTATAGGCTACTGGGCACCAATCATTTGTCATGTTAGCTAGAGGAGCTTGATGTTACTACTTAAGGAGAGCTTAAGATCTGCAGGGCACATGACGTAACATCCTTTGGGTTTTCCCGGTAACACATTTCAAGTTAATAGAAAAATTAGTTCACAGGTTGTTATGGGAAAGGTTGGCGAGACAAACTAACTCAGCCTGTAGCGAGATGCACATTTCTCCACATTGTACACCTAAACTTTAAAATCACACATTTTCTCAAGAACATCTTAGACATCCAGACACTGACCGCAGAAAGGTGTCGAAGAAGACGTGAGGAGGAACAGCCTCTGCTCTTTGGGGATTGGAGATATTGTTATCCCACTGTTTTCTGATAAACCTGAAACACACACACAGACACACAACAACAACAACAACAACAACAACACACACACAACACACATGTAGATGATTAGGGTCATCCTTTAGTTCTTCTGCACATGCGTCACAAATCAAAGGGCTCTCATGCACATTAACTGTGGAGCTATATCAGTGTGCGTTGGTGTATCGGGGGTTGAAATGATAAGAAGTTTCCAGAAGCTGTTGTGAGATGGGACCAAGCCTGCAGCAATGGATGCCGAACATATCTGCTGGTGAGACAGAAGCTAAACAGAGAGCAAACACAAGCTGCTTGATTTATATTATAGTATTCTTTCTTCTTAAATTTTAGATTATTGAATGTGTAGTGTTTTAATTTTAAAGGTTTATTTTGGGGCTTTTTATACCTATAGATATAGGTCAGTGGATAGAGGCTGAAATCAGGAGAGAGAGAAAGCACGGAAAGACATGTGGGACCAGAGCCACAGGTAAGACTCGAACCTCCGACTTCAGCTTCCGTACATGGGGCACGTGCACTAACCACTAGGCTACTGGTGCCACGCTGTCTCTTGTTATTTGATGTAATGAAAAAATACAGTCACTCATTACAGATCAAAAATTAAAATGAAAACAGGTAACAGATATGGCATAAGGTGAATATTACTTTGGACTCGTCAGCTGAGCTTTCTGAGAGTGTTTTTTTTTAAGTTAAATGAAACATTCATAGACACAGCGGAGTCCTTTTACATCACCATGACTACAGGGTGACTCTAAAGGGGCCTATGAGACACAAAATAGCATGCAATTAATAGTTTAACATGTTTAAAGCATTAGTTTCCAACCTTAATTAATCACGATTATTAATGCTGACGGCCATAGTTTTTTTTAATTTATTCTTCTGTAGTCCTACTATATTTTGGTGTAAGTTTTTATAGCTGCAAATAAACGTAGAAAAAGACTCCTAAAGTAAAAGTAACTCAAATTTAATAACTGGTGGAAGAAGTTCATCGTTACTCAGTGAGTAACATTTTCGCAGCATTACGGGCAGAAAACTGTATTTAAATGTAAAGCGTTTTTAAATAGCCTAGTAAGAGATGTATTTGATATGAAAAGACACACATTAACTGTGAACACGTCTACCTCCCAAACTAATTCAGACACACCCTTATCTTTTGTGCAAACATTTTATAAAAGATGCATAACAAAACACATTACTCTTCAGTTCGAGGTGTGTGTTCTCAGGTGTTTCCTTACCTATAGTTGGACATGTGCCCTTGAAGATGTCACAGTCCAAACAGTTTCCCTTTAGGAAGTCCTCATAACTGGAGCAGGGGATCCCAATCAGCGGGCACGAGCCGCTCAGCGCGCTCATGTAGACGTGCAGCGCCCTCATGTGGTCACAGATCACATAGCCGTACACTGGGAAGTAGACAAGAACTGACAACACACAGACACTAAAGGGGCCAAAGGTCTGGAGGCTACACTTTTCAAAAATTAAGATATTTAAAATTATTGATGTGTCATTTTAATCATATCTGTATGACAGTAGCCAGAGCTTTATTTGAGCCAACTTTAAACACACACACACACACACACACACACACACACACACACACACACACACACACACACACACACACACACACACACACACACACACACACACACACACACACACACACACACACACACACAGTCTGGAAGCTGCAAATTGTATTTGTGGGTGCTGGACTTACTTGAAGCAAACCTGGAGCGGGCACATCCAGTCTGATCTTTTCCCCCGTTCAGAAAGAAGTCCACATGGCCGACAGGGATGGAGATGCCAAAATCTGAAGCAGAAGAAGAATATTAAAAACTGTCATCATTTTATCGCTGATGTAGTGCTTTTAAATCCAAAAAACACCTATTAACCCAGGGAGCTTTGAGACTTATATTTATCCATTGTACATGCGATCACTAAACCCTGTTTAAAAAAATACTTTAGGCCATCTTTTAACAACCTTGCTGAAGTATTTGCATGAAATTGATGGGTTAAACATGGATGTTAGCCAAACAGAAGCCACAATTTAAAATGATTGCAGGCTGGATTTTCCCAGGATGAGTCAGCGGCTTTCAAAGTGAGCTGACAAAACAAGCTTGTATATCATTATGATCTTACTTCAGGGAAAAATAAACCCAGCAAACAGTCAGTTACACAACAGTTTTATTTAAAGTGTGCCAACATAAGCTTTAATGATCCAAAGGTTTCATCTGACCAACTCGGAGAGTCTATGCTCCCATGTTCCTTTGTTCATGAACTTTTGAAGTAATTGATAAGGCTTGTATTTGCTGTTCTAATTGCAAAAGAATGAAGAAAAGCTGCAGTTTAAATAGCAAATATCTGCCCAGTCTCTGCTGATCTATCAGTATCTAAAGTCAAGTAAATAAAAGGCTTACATGTAAATTTAAGAAGCATGGGCTGTATGTGTGTGTGGGGGGGGAAACATACAGAAAAACCTTGTTGAGACGGTTACAGACCCGCCTGAAAGGTCCCTATATTTGGGGATATCGCGCTGATTATTGAGCTGTATGAAGCCAAAGGTTCTCTCCCCCACTGAATGTAAATGAGCGAAGGTTCATCCATTATAACGCTCTTGCTTCAAGTGAAAGTTTGTGTAATTCAGTTTTTTGAAAAGGTGTACATAGTCTTGATATAAAGAAACTTAGCTGACTTGTGCAACCAATCTGCTTCATCGCTCCTCAACCTTGACAAAATGTCTTTATGCCTCAGTGAAGAAAAATGCATCACTCATCATTTGATATTATATCATATTGTATTGTATATTCGATACAATACGATATGATATGCATGATATTTTGTTGAGCTAAAGTTTTCTCACAGTCAGAGTCTGTGTGGATGGCATCGACAAACAGAGCATCAGAGGGGTCCAGACGGTCGAAGGTGTCGGCTCCTTTAAACATGGGACCAGCAGGATCCAGAGCTGGAAGACAAGGACACGGGAAACTTTGTTAAAATGTACAACAGTTCTTTAGGAATAAACAATGTCAATAGATAAGGTCTTCATCCATTACCATTATATCTGAGTATTATTCATCTCCTGTGCTGTGATAAGAGAAGTGTTGAGAAGCAGTTCTCAAATATGAGAAGAGTCCATCCTCTCCGTCTTTTGCCTGCTCCACTTTTCAGAAAATGTCTGCTCAAACAGGCTGTTTGGAGATATTCCCTTCATGACATCACAAAGGGCAGTAACCCCTCCCCCAGGTGGGTGACACTCCCACAGCTAGGTGTTAAATAGGGCATGGAGCGAGAAAGCCCGAGTACACTCAAGCCCTTCCAGAGAGGGGGCGTGGTCAGACACAGCTCATTTACATTTAAAGGTACAGACACAGAAACAGCCTGTTCTGAGCAGGGCTGAAATAGAGGGGTTTATAGGCATGATCAAATACAGGATCAGAGTGGAATTAGAACAAGAAACTTCACACATGTTTTGAGGAGATCTGAGACTTATTTAAGCTAGTTGAAGAGGAGGAGAATATGTGACCTTTAAGAGTACTTTTCTTTTATAACGTAATACTAACTTTCTCTTTCTTGTCACTTCCTCCTAATTGAATTTATCTGGGTTACATGTTTTTAATTAAAATAAGTTTAACTGAGATAAATAACGTATAGTCATATTGATTTATTTGACGCAGTAATAAGTGTTTCTTGTTTAAGTTAATCCAATTTTTTTTAAGTTTTCCATTTCTTTCGACAAAGTCCGGTCTGCAGCTGCAGGCTCCTCTGAATTATTTTCAAACTTGCACCAGCCTCCCCTCTCAGACAGAAGCACCCGATATAAACAAGTGAACAGTGCTGCATTGTGTTTCTGGTGACTGAGCGTCTCCACATGGCTCTTATCAAAGTGTTGTTGTCCTTTGAAGAGCTCGGCTTATCTCTCAAGGTCGCTCTGAAGCACACTCAGGCTCCGAGAGACTCCGGATACCTTCACTGTCTGACCTGCTGTTCTGTAGACGAGCATTTTATTTTACAAATATTTAACAATATTTGATAAGCTCTCCTTCTTAGTTTGGAGTGTTTCATTTGTAAAGGTAACTCGTCTTTTATCTAAAATGGAGCACATGTGTTGAAGGGCTGAGATCTGCTCAAGAAACCAAAATATTATAGCAACTAAATATGTTTTTATTCACACAACAAAGGAAAAAAGGAAAAAGTAGGATTAAGGGTCAGTGTCTCAAAATCAACTCGACCTGCTTTTCCAGCCTGCAGGAGAGTCTTTTACATTGCTTGATGCTCCAGATTTACCTGTGATTCTTCCAATCTTCCCTTCAAACAGAGTCCCCACAAATCCAGCGACATGAGCCCCAAGACTGATCCCGATGAAGTGGAAGGACTCCAGTTTGCAGCCATTTGTCTGTGAGGTGAGAGAGATTGAAAAACTTTTAAATTTCACCTGAAACTTGCACAAGGTCCTCGACTGAATCTTTGTTTTGTTTAAAGGGTAAAATAAGAGTGTGGCGAACTCCTGAAAAGCAACAGATTTTAAAGTTATTTGACAGTTTGTTAAATCTGGTTGCACAGATGTTTTGGGGTAATATAGCTTTTCCTCCAAATACAAATAGATTCAAATCCTTTGTACCAAAATCCTCAAAGAGTTCTGAAATAATTAAAGATGTAACATAGATGTCCTCTGAGTGTCTGACCTGCATCTGGTTTATGAGAACAGAGATCTGCACAGCCACCTCCTTGTAGTTTTCCACCACCAGGTTGTAGGCGAATGAGGCGCCGTAGATCCAGTCCACCACCACCACGTTCACATCCTGAGCCCGGAGCAGGGCCACAGCCAGATCCTTCACCCAGGACGGCTTACTGCCCAGAGCCCTGAGGGGGGTTAAAGGGACACAGAACTGAGTCAGGAAGATCGTGATGAAAGAAGTAGTTTAAGGCTGATGGGAGGTTGAAGGAATCAATCATTCTACAGGGATGGAAATGTCCCTCCTCTTCCTCACCTGTACCCGTGGACGATGACCTTTGTGGGACGGGAGATGTTGAAGTAAGACGGCTGCTCTGTTTCTGTAAGAGACTGCTGAGTGAACGTTTGTGCACAGTCCAGGTTTCTCCTGGTCAGCAGCAGGTACTGAACCTGCAGTTTGACACTGCGCTGACGGTACTCCTGCCAGGTGGTGTTGTTCAGGTCAGCACACTCCTCATCTGTCGAATTATTTTCTAAGCCTGAGCAATTAGAGAAACATATTCACTGGGCTGGTGTGGGTGTCAAGACATCAAAGTCCAACTTGTGTTCAGTGACCCAGATGATAGCACGGTAAAGTAGGACGTAAAAGGACAATCTATTAAATCTTCCTCTTATCAGCTGAACATTTACTTGCACTAATCCTTTTATGACAGGCTTAGAGGCCCAATGGGTCACAGGGGGACTAAAAAGGTGTCTCTTTTTAGCATGACTGTCTGGTCATGCTGAAAGTCAATGAAGCAACACAAAAACAACCACTAGGGGATGCTTAAGTATGACAAAGACACACAAGTGCTTCTAGAGTCTGCTGGGACCCTTGGAAAAATTCACTGGGGCCCCTCCAACCAGCATTCATCACTGGTATTTCTGCCAGTCGATGCTTACTCTTGACTTTATCCTTCAAAAACTTTCATGGACAAAATTTGGTTTTCATGCAACGCTTAGCAGAGCTACAACTCTCAGAGCAACTCAGAGCTACAAGTGCTGTCAGATGGGGCCCCCTTAGGGAGGTTTCCAACTGTCATTGCAAAGTTTTTCACAGTTTCAGCCACTGCTGTGGTTTAAAGTTTGTCAGCCCTCAGGTGACCCCTGCCGGCTTGGGGCCCCAAGCAGTTGCCTTCATTGCCTGCTGACAATCAGCGCCTCTGTTTTTGGCGGTATACTGTCGGGTTTTCAATCTGAAAAAGTCCATGAAGCAACACAAAAAGACCACTAAGGGATGCTAAAGTACGACAAAGAGACACAATCACAGGCGAAAACATGATGACAGGAAAAATTACTAAGGATTTCAAAGAAACACAAACATCTTCAGACAAATGCATAAAAACTATGAAGAAACACAAAACAGCCAAAAAAGACACTCAAAAAAACTACAAAGACTAAAAAAAGGAAAATCAATTGTCAGCAAAATGGACAGTTCACCTTTGAAAAGCACTACAAAAAAAGTAAAACAATCACTGTGACGACAACAATGCCCCCGCAACTCTTTGTTGGACATGACTCAATCTGTGGCGAGGAGCAAATGATCCTAAGATTTGTCCACGCTAACCACTTTGGTGACAGAAACATTTTGATTCAACAATATTTTAATGGACGAAACAACATCAGGTCAGATGTTCTAATTTGTAATTGAGAAATTAACTGTTACAAACACTAATCATATCAATGAGCGGCTTTAATTGTAACAACTGTACACTTTAAACACAAGGTCAATCTCATCCTTTCATACTTGAAAATGACTAGAAAAAAAAGATGATTAGAGTACTCACCCAGCACCAGTGATGTGATGAAGACGGTGAAAAGACAGAGTAAGATGATATTGTGTTGCTGAGACATTTCTGTAGTAACAGAGAACTGAGAGGAGTTGCCTGGGAGCTTGTATTCGGTGCTTAACAGGGCTCAGCTGCTCTGTTTAGTCCAGGATTGGTGGATGCAGATCAGCTTTTGGCTTGACCAAAAAATCCAGCCTCTGTGTGTGTGTGTGTGTGTGTGTGGTGTTGTGCTGCTGGAACAACAACTCAGCATTCAACTGGCCAACAGCAGGCCAAGAATCCATATAAAAAAGTCCAGGATAATTTTTCCCACGTTTCTTTTCTTGTAAAGTTCCGATGTATCCACAACAAAACTCACCCTGTTCTTTTACTCAGTCTTTACACTCCTCTGTGGGTTTTGTCCCCTGTCTCTCTCTCACTCAGAATGGGTTTGTACCGAGCCGACAAGTGGTTGAAGCTCTTTGCCTGGCGGTGAATCCATGACCTCATTGGTGTTCAATGGCTATTTGTTTAAAATGTTGGACTCTGGCCTGGCTGTGACTGGTTTGTGTGTGCGTGTGGGTGCCTGAATATGTGCATGTGAGTGTGTTTGGAGAGTCACAACAAGTGAGGAGAGGTCATCCTGCTGTATCTGATGGAAATCAATCATGAGCTGATTGATTGTTCCACTAAGAACGCTCTGTTATGTAATCAAAGCTAACATCACTTTGTCCAGTCCAATCAGTTTGTTGTTTTCTTACTTCTCTCTTAGTTTTGCTGTTAGTCATGATCATAGGATCGAAGTGTGATTGTTTCTCTGGTTTTTAGGTAATAATAACTCAAAGAATTTAATTCTATCCAAGGATAAAGGGTCAAGTCTAGGATTTGCAGTTGGCGGTCATGTTGTGGTAATCACTCTGAGATTTAGAGATTAATTATATTTAGGAGCTAAGCGTGGGAAAATAAACACATTTGACTGTTATTAGTCATTTCAAATGAAGGGATGGCTGGATGGATGGATGAGTTGATGGATGGATGGATGGGTGGATGGGTTGATGGATGGATGGGTGGGTGGATGGATGGGTGGATGGATGGATGGGTTGATGGGTGGATGGATGGATGAGTTGATGGATGGATGGGTTGATGGGTGGATGGATGGATGGATGGATGAGTTGATGGATGGATGGATGGATGGATGGGTTGATGGATGGATGGGTGGGTGGATGGATGGGTGGATGGATGGATGGGTTGATGGGTGGATGGATGGATGAGTTGATGGATGGATGGGTTGATGGGTGGATGGATGGGTGGATGGAAAGATGGATAGATGGATGGATGGGTTGATGGGTGGATGGATGGATGGGTGGATGGATGGATGGATGGGTTGATGGATGGATGGATGGATGGATGGATGGATGGATGGATGGATTGATGGGTGGATGGATGGATGGATGGGTGGATGGATGGATGGATGGATGGATGGATGGATGGATGGGTTGATGGGTGGATGGATGGATGGATGGGTGGATGAGTGGATGAGTGGATGGATGGATAGTTGGATGGATGGATAGTTGGATGGATGGATGGATGGATGGATGGATGAGTGGATGGATGAGTTGATGAATGGATGGATGGATGGATGGATGGATGGATGGATGGATGGGTGGATGAGTGGATGGATGGATAGTTGGATGGATGGATAGTTGGATGGATGGATGGATGGATGGATGGATGGATGGATGGATGGGTGGGTGGGTGGATGGATGGATGGGTGGATGGATGGGTGGATGGATGGGTGGGTGGATGGATGGATGGGTGGGTGGATGGATGGATGGATGGGTGGATAGTTGGATGGATGGATAGTTGGATGGATGGATGGATGGATGGATGGATGGATGGATGGATGGATGGATGGATGGATGGTGGGTGGGTGGATGGATGGATGGGTGGGTGGGTGGGTGGATGGATGGATGGGTGGATGGATGGGTGGATGGATGGGTGGGTGGATGGATGGATGGGTGGATGGATGGGTGGATGGATGGGTGGGTGGATGGATGGATGGGTGGATAGTTGGGTAAATGTAATAAATAAATGTATTAGCTGAGTAGGAATAAGGATGGACAATGAGTAAGAGCTTTTTCCCACAAACACTTTAATGGTACTAACCTTGAAAACAGATTATTTACAATGTAACCCTACATGTGAAGTAATCTGTGACTTTGGCAACCCCTGCGGGTGATATCAGAGAAAGAAAAAACATTTTCAGAACTCCATTTCAGAAGTGGAAACAAAAAAAAATATCTTTAAGAAATCATGAACAGTAATTTGCACTTTTTAAAAACATAATTGCTTCATGTTTAGTGTGTTAGATATGTTAAACTATAGATGACTGAATGACAAAGTACAGGTAAAAGATAGTTCAAAGTATTGATAAGTACACTTCTGCATTGATTTGTGCAGCTTTTGTCACAATTCTTTTGGAGCCACAAGGGACAATGTTTGGATTAGAAAGACAACACACACTGCTATACACAACCTCTAAAGTATACTGGTTATGCACATATTCAAAGAAAAAAAGATGAGTGTGCACACATCTAAGCAAATCGATACAGGTGCAGGGCAAAAAAAGGAATAAACTGCCGAAAAAAAGAAAAGGTCCGCACACCATTCAGTTCAGCAGTAAGCAGTTTCAAAAACATCTTCCTGCTAGTATGGAGACCCTGACAAAGATCTTTGCACTACATTCTGGACCAGGCCGAATCAGCCCCGAGTCGTTTTAGGGTCTCATCCAAGTTGAAAATGGTAGCTTGGAAAGGTAAAGAGACAAACACCAAAAATATATAAACATACTTCTTGTCAATTAAAATGAATTTTTACTGCAGTTGTTAATGACTTTTCATTCGTTATTTAGCTGAGATTTTTTCCCTCTCTTGTGGCAGCTGTGAAGCAAGCCATTCAATGGTGCGTTTGCGAGCGTCCTGCCAGGTGAACCTGGGGGCGTACCCCAGGTCTCTCTGAGCCCTCTGATAGGAGAAGCTGAACGTCGTGTTCAACATGGTGAGGAGCTGCCGGCTCAGCGGCGGGGCGACACGCACGAAAGGCTGAAGTATCATGCACACGACCTCCATTAGGAAGCAGAACAGGTAGAAGAGGCGGAGCGGCACCATCAGTTTCTCCTGAATGCTGAAGCCCAGAGGTGACATCACGATGTGGTTGAAGTCGGAATAGGAAATGTGAGGCGTGTCGTCTGAAATGAAGTAAAACTTTCCTCCGACTACATCTCTTTTTTGTGGATCTTTGAGGCTGCGGGCTGCCTGGAGGTGAGCCGCAGCCACGTTGCCCACATAGACAGGATTCACTAAAGCCTCCGGCAGAGACATACGATACAGAACGTTGTTGTTTCGTATCCCGTCGCCCATGTGGCCCAGCAGGAAGCGGCAGCCCTCCCCATAGATGTACATGGGTCGGAGGGCGCAGGTAGCAAGTCGGCCTCCGTTTGGGAGCAGCTCGTCGTGGACCTGCAGGGTTCTCTCCTCAGCCTCCTTTTTGGTCTTGCTGTAAGCGAACTTCAGATTGCATTCATAAACTGTGTCCTCGGTGCCGTTGATGATTGGTTCACCCTTTGAGTTTGGCCCCATCACCTCGATGGTGCTGGTGTAGATGACCGACGACACGTTCTCTTGAATGCATGCCTCCAGGAGCAGCTGAGTTCCTGCAAAGCAACGATGCTCATAAGCTCATATGAGCTAAAAGGGAACAGATCTCTTTATACAGTCTCATCTCTGAGGAGGGAAAGCCTTTCCTCTCTTTTTACAAAGCATGATAAAATAACATTTACATTTTTGATAATTAGGTGTTTAAAATGAGTTCAATACATCTCAGTCTTTAAGAGAAATGGATAGCATGAAGATGAGTGCAGATGGTTCACTGAGACATAGCGACGGTCATACCTCTGACGTTGACCCCGTATATCTCGCTGTATTCCACCGAGTTAGTCACATCGATGATGGACGCGATGTGGAAAACAATCGAAGCGCCTCTGCAGCTTTTTCTCAGGAAATCACCGTCTCTGATGTCCCCCTCGAAAGCACTCAGCTTTGTGTCGCCTCGACAGTCTGACAGACAACATATCAGGAGTAAATCTCACAGAATAACCGTTTAAAGACTTATTATTTAACAAGAAAAAAATAACAACGTGGGGAGTATTTGATGGAGATTTATTGTTAAAATTAAAATTAGTCTCAGACTTCATCTAAAAGCTTAAATTGCATAAAAGTTGTTAAACTATAAAATACACCCATTGTTTCAGAATTTATATCAATCAGTTGTTTTTACTTAAGTTTAGGTAAAATCGCAAACACAAATAATTACCTTTACATCTTACTTACACAGCTTTTCTGGTATTCCCTCCTGATTGAGAAAGTGAGATTTAATGTCTCAATGAGGCTTTCCTAACGTGATTAAGTTTAATAAAACTACAACCAATCAAATTACTTATAATCACAACATGTTCTCAGAAAACTGGTGTTATGGTTTTCACTAGCCTCATTATATTATGAAATACTATCTTATCAAGATTTTTATGGAAGCCTGAAGCGGCCATGTGACCACACATTTTGTTCAATGAGTACTTTCTGATTTTTGAATGTGAAATTAGTCTATTCATTTAATATTAAATCACAATTATAACAATTCGGGGGGAAACTGGAATGGTGAGCTATCGTTAAATGGTATAAAATGTTTTTTTTTTCATTTGGAGTGCTGGTGGCGCAGTGGTAAGTGCGCACGCCCCATGTATGGAGTCTAATAGTCCTCCAAGCGGGTGGCCAGGTTCAAATCCAGCCTGTGGTGTCTTTCCTGCATGTCATTCCCACTCTCTCTCCCTGATTTCCAACTCTATCAACTGTTCTATCTCTCCATTAAAGGCACAAAAAGCCCAAAAATGAATCTAAAAAAAAATGTTTTTTCATTTAGGGGGAAAGCGACACTGGAAGCAGCTCAAAGTTATTCAGCTCAAAGAGGTAAGCGTAGACGTAAAAGGCTTGTGGAGTTTCCCTCATTTCATGATTAACAGACTTCAGTTTGCACTTAACCTGCTTTAGGAAATAAGGCCTATCACAGTGACGGCCTACAGTATTGTTTTGTTTTCTAGACTGCCAGAAAGTTATCCTGTTCAACCAGCTTTCTAATCTTGCGGTAATGAGATAATTTAAACCGCTAGCAGGAGAAAAAGTTTTGTTTTCCCGGGATTACAAGAATAAAAGTTAAAATCTCGAGAAAACAACTCAAAATAATGGAAATAAACGGCATTGTTATCTGGAGGTTATAACAAAGAAGTTAAGACCTCAGAGAATGAACCAGATAGTACTCGTTATCACAGGAAAATTGATTAAATAAAATATGGATGCATGACCGCTTAGGGCTTCCATAGATGTATAATATTCTGTTTTTTGAGGTGAAATTTATGCATAAAGCATAATATTAGAAATATTTCTCCTTGAAATGTAAAGTGTTGTGCAGAGAGGAAAAACAGAAACATGATCTTGTAGGTAGATTTTACCTTCCAGAGTCTGTAACAGTTGTGGCTTTACTTCTTTATCCAGCAGACGAATCTCTGACATCTTCTCCTCTTCCAGCAGAAGCCTCACCAACCGCTTCCCCAGAAATCCACAGGCTCCGGTCACAACACAAACATCCCCGCTCAGAGACATCGCAGGTTAATTCTCTTGCTTGTACCACGGACAAAAGTGAAAGTGAGTGAACTGAAGCAGCTTGTGTCCTCTCAGCCTCAAGACTTTACGTAACGTGACAAACTTGACAGACCAGAAATAAAGAGTTATTTACTCTGAGGCAGAAGGAAAAAAGGGGATGGTGCTGTGCTTTTGAAGTAGACAAAATAAGGGGCTGGAAGGTTTTATGAGCCAAGGACAGATGCTGTTGCGGTTATATAATCAAGGACACAAGGCAGTGGACAGACTCAGCACAGAGAAAAAGAGGAAGAGAAGTAAAGTGGAGAGTTGAAAGAAAACTAAAACTCTTTACAAAAAACATTAAAGTTAATTGTGCACTATTGAAAGACATGCTTCTCACACACATCGGCCTTAAATACACACAAGCCAGAGAGATGCCAGAGTGGGGCTGCACAAAGGGGCTGCTGGGGGTTTGACGCCTTGTCCAAGGGCACCTCAGCAGTACTCAGGAAGTGACCTGGCACCTCCCCAGCTACCAGACCAACTTCCATCCTTTGGTCCATTCTGGGACTTGAACTGGTGACCCAACCCAAGTTCTTACAGACTAAACTACTACTTCTTTTCTCCTATAACATCTCAGCCTGCTGATTAACTTTGACGTTGTTCGTCCTCACAGTGTCCCGCAGAAGTGGAAGACAAATGGAGATATTTGCTTTGAGGTGCATTGATGTAATTTCCTGTTTCCCCCTTTTTTTTTACCGTTTTGTTTAGAAATAAGGGAACACTTTTTAATAGGAGAGGGAAGAGGAAAGATGAGACGATCAGATCTTTACTACAGAACAGTCATTAAATAAATTGGTAAGTATCCAATACCAAGGAAAGTACAAGGCCACATTAAGCTCGTAAAAAAACAAGATTCAGGGTTTCAAAGTGATGTCCAAAATGTTTTCCCTCAAGCTGTGATGAATTGCAATTGGCCTCGGTTGGCTCAGTAAATGGTACACTGACCCTTAAAAGCTTTGAAGGACAAACAGCTTGAAGCATTTTTTTTTTTTTTAGCACTGACCTTCTATTCATGGCCCTCTCTGTTACCAGTGTCATAATATTCACAAACGTCCAGAGTTGATGAGTACGAAGGAGTATTAGGGCCACAATAAGGGGGAGAAAAAAATCAGCAACTTTAAGCTTAAAGTCATACATTTAACAAGAATAAAGAGGTAAATCAACGAGAAAACAGTCGTACATTTACAAGTTTAAAGTCGCACATTTACTAGTTAAAATCATAAATTAACAAGTTTAGAGTCGTACATTTTATGAGATTAAAGTAATACATTAACGAGAATAAAGTAATAAATGTATGTTTGTACATTATAGTACTTATACTCCGTCGTAAATGTGAGCTGAGTTTATCCAACACTAAAGTTTCTTCTCTTTTGTTCTTTTCAGACGATTCGCTTTAATTTAATAACAGAGCACAATGACATGACATTACATCCTACAGTGAAAGGTACTGCTGTGAATAGCTGGTTGTGGATCTGTCTGCTGCTGACTATTTGTAGTCCTTGGCGTTGCCGTTGATATCACAGCTGTGCGAGTTCTTATCTGAAGGTGAAAGGTGAAGTGACAAGGATAGTTGCATCGTCGTTCACTCTCAAAAGATGTAATGTGTTGTGTGTGTATTAATACGCAGTGTATGAGTAATGAGGCAATGTAGAGTCACCAATGAACCTAACGAGCATGTCTGGACTGTGGGAGGAATCCGGAGTACCTGGAGAGAACCCACACATGCACGGAGAGAACATACAAACTCGACAAAGAAAAGGCTCCTGTCTGACGGGGATTCTTAAAGGGGACATATTAAGGAAAATCCACTCTTGCAGTGTTTTTTAACATATATTTGGATAACCTGAGTGTCTACCGACCCACAAAATGTGAAATAAACCCATCCAGTCTTTTGTTTGTGGTCTGCATAAAACTTACAAGACAGAGAAAAATGCTCCGTTTCAAATTTGCTCTCTTTGTGACATCACAGTGGGATTCTGGTAAAAAAAAAAAAACCTCCCCCTCCCCTGGTATCTTCACCCATGGACTCCACCCCCAGCCTAGAACAAAACTTTTGCGCAGTTCCACCATTTTTACTCTCGCTACAGAGGAGTGATGTCTACCAGGAACACTCAGGGGGGGCTCATTGCATTTAAAGAGACACACACACCAAAACGGAGCGTTCTGAGAGAGCTGGTTTATACAGGGTCACAAACCTCCTCTGGTGCTTGATTCATGTTATATTTTGACCAAAGCACAGCACAGATGTTTCATTTAGACCACAGGGCACAGATTGAAAAGGTGGAGAAGAGGGATAATATGTCCTCTTTAACATTTTATTTCCAATATAAATATGCAAAACATACAAAAAAACAACATTTATTCATCCAGTACATGTATTATATTATAGAAAAAAAGAGTACAGACATTTATTCTGGAGGCTTTGTGGAAAATGATCGCTCAGTATCAAACAGGATTTTCTGCTACTCCTGCTCGGAAACTCTTTCAGCCTTGTTTGAGGCTGTAAAACTTAAATACGCTACAGCTCACAGGAATCTTCTGGGGAATAACATTAAGATTTATTGTTGATGCAGACAAGATCTCTTCTGTTAAATGTCAGTTTGATCCTTTCTCATAGCTTTCTTTATTTATTACAGGCTTAATTTAAAGGTCAGAAAATCCCAAATCACATGTTTTTATTCAGCTACAGAACTCCAGTAACATTATAAAAGGGTGAAATTAAATTAAAAAAAATTCCTCCCGCTGGTGCGTCACCGTAGACGACGATGAAACGCTGTCAAAAACTAGTAATTCGGTCTGTAAATACCACAGGCAGTGAATGCAGAATGAAGTCATTGTGGTCTTCATGCAATAATGAGAATCAGAGACATTGTTGAATATTTAAAAAGACACATTTGTGACTGCCTTTGGATCACACGCTGAAGTCTGTTTCCACAAACAACAACAGAAAACCCCTAAATCAGAGATGGAGTTACCTGTTGTTAGACTGATCCTGACTTGTCTGATCTGTACGTTGGCTAAGAAGAGACACATTTAATGTCCATAAAGATTCTGTTACGAGCTCATTTAAGAAGGGAGGATAGATTTCATACTACGACCACACAGTGAAGGAGAGAGGCTGCATGGTTAAATGCAAGCTGCTTTATAAAAGAACTGTTAAGGCTTATGTTTGTTAGCTACCTAACCACGCTTGCAGCTGCTGCCTGAACTCTCATCCCACTCCATCTCTTATTTGCTCCTTTTCCTCTCCATTTCTGGTTTGACAGTAGTTAAATAAAAACCTTCAATGTCTGCTGCAATTTAAGATATCTTCAGGGAGTTAAAACCTATGATGATTATTATGAAGAAGAAATAGTGCCGGCGTTATCCTTTGATCACATGCTTGAAACAAGCGGCGTTGAAAATGAGTGCAAAATCCTGCAAGTTCGTGTGGTGATCACTTGAGGCTGGTTGCAGAAGTCACATGCTCACAGGGACGGACTGGGGCTAAAAAAAGGCCCTGGACTTTTTCCAAAATTTAGGATTTAGATTTCGTGTTTAAATAACCACTTGCCAGCGTTTCAAGATACTATACCACAAGCCTACTAGACTGAAGATATTCACAGATAATAACATTTCACAATCAATGATAATTTCTGAGGTGTTTATTTATAACAAAACTACAATAAAACTACAATAAAACAAAAGTATTTCAGAACACTCTCAAAGAAGGTAGGCCTAACCTATATGAACTTGAAGGATAGAAATTTAGTTTATAGGTTGCTAATGAAAATGTACTCAATGCTGTGGCAGTAAAAGTTTATTCATTTTATCGTGGACTACCCGAAATTACGGTGTTATTTTATTATTTTCCATATTGCGTTATTGGTTCGTTTGTGATATTTCACGCATTAATGATGTCGGCCCCAAACACGTCAGGTTGGACTGCCCTGATACATTTTTTTTTCTTCTGATGAGCCACATAAAGGGACGGCCGTTGGTCAGTCCGCCCCTGCATGCTCACCCCAACCGAAAAAAAAGGAGTTTTAAAGAAATTTACAGCCTGGTTAAAAAAATGAATTAGGCCTGATTAGCTCATGGCTCAGATGGCACATACTGTGTGTCGGGTGGGAGGGCTCAAGAGACTTAAAACCTGCCTAACCTCTCGTTATGTTGACAGAAAGTTAGGTTGAGGCAGCATTTCCAGCATGGCCACCGCCATCGATGGGACTCCAAAGACCAACTAACTAATACTGACCTGTTTGACTCAGAGGTTGATCTGATAAAACGTCACCCTTTGAAACAATAATGTCCAAAAGGAATCAAAGTTGAAGCCAGTTTGAGAGGTGGGATAGCTCGTGAAAGAACACAAGAGCAGGACATATGCAACAGAAGGACCGAAAAAGGCACCTGCGATGGTAAAGTGCTTGACGGAATAACTGTCTAACTTGTAAGCTAGCCCCGTGTACCTCACACCTCGACCTTGCAAGCCACAAAATGTTGTGTTTCATTTTCTCCGCATGTGTGGTCTGACAGAAGCAAAAAATTGGAAACCACCCCACGTCTGGTGCATAACTTCTTAGCCGTTGAGATGCTTCGACTTTTTTTTTTTTTTTCGCCTCAAAGTTGATTGAACTATTACCTGTGAAAACAACGACTACCATGTCCAAAAAGAAAATAAATGTCAAGCAGACTCGAGAGGGACGATTGAGAAAGTACACAAAAGTAAGAATGGTGCAATGTGAGGAAAGAAAATGGAACTTCAGGCGGTGAACTTCTGGAAAAATAACTTCTGAAGGCTAATTTTAGCTACCTAGCCATCGCAGCTGCTACCCGTACATGTGACCCGTTTTTTTTCTCCTTTTTGCATATTTTCTCCCCGTTTCTGACAGCATCAACACTAAGAAGAACCCTCTTGCCTCTAGTGCTCCTCAGCTCTTAGCTGTGGGCAGTGGACAGTCCTGTATCTGGGCCTCGTCCACAGACCCCTCCGGCAGGTGAACCGTCATGGTACAAGCACGAATCCCCCCCAGAGGCTCCAGCACATTGAACACTCTGTCCCACACGTCCTGCTCCGGATCATACCTCTGCACAATGTCCACCATGCACCTGCTGTTCCAGGAATACCCCCCCACTACATAGACCTGCCCGTTAAACACCGTCACGCCAACGTCGCTCTGGCCCCGCGGCATCGGCGCCACCACCGTCCACTGGTCCGCCTCTGGGTTGTAATACTCGCAGCCCAGGACGTCGTCGTAGTCGCTGCTGCCTCTGAAGTGATTCCCGCCCATGACGTAGAGTCTGTCTCCCACGGTGCACATGCAGTGCAGGCCGCGGAGCTCCATCATGTCGGCTCGTCTGCACCACGTGTCAGCGACAGGATCGTAACACCAGAGCTCCTTCTGGAATGTGTCACGGGTAATGCCACCTGAGTGACAGAAGAAGATCCATCAAATAAATGTAGTATGTTCAAAATGTTTCACCTTAAAGAAGTCTTGCTGGAACTAAATCAACTAAATCTAAAGAGAGCTATGTTTTGACTCGTTCAAAGGCTCATAAAGTATCTGGAGAAATAATCTTTAACTTTTTTTTTTTTTACACTCTTCCTCTGCTCTGATGTTAATCTTACACGGAGCCTGAGTTTGATCTGTAAGGGGAGATGACCAGGGGCGTCGTATGGGGGTGAAAAGTGAGGTCAACACATAAGTATATTTTGTGTTGAAACAGCATGTTTAAACAGCATTTGTTGTTTAAACAGCACATTTAAGCCCCTGACAGTTGTGTGGTTTTGACTTTGTTGCTGAGTACTGAGACGCACTTGAACTAGTGTTTCCTGCCTCTCAGTCTTACACGTGAAACTTCTGTCTCTGCTCTCAATGTGAGAAAAAAAATACAGTTTCCTGTCCATGAAACCTGCAGCAGCTCAGGCTGAGAGTTTACTGCTAAACAGGAAGTGGTTTCAGAAAGGTCAGACATAGAATAGAGGCTCATTTAATTACTCATCTTTTGTGAAATGGAACCTTTTGTTGAATATAGACGACCCCTGCAAAGAAACTCTTTGAAGCTGTTTTCATAAATGCACAAAAATCCTGATAAATGTCCCGACATTCTTTGAGGAAGAGCTGCATGTGTGAACATTTTTTGACATTACCCAGACTTTTTCCAGCCAGCAACCTACTAACCTTCCCGCAAGAAATTAGGGTGAGCTGATGAATGCATGTGAACACAGCCGGAAAATTCACCATGAGCGAGCAGGCGGACTGATGATGATGTTTATATCACATGACATGTGTGATCAGCTTGCATGCTGCTTCACACTCTTTTCTTTAAATACTGTGAATATGTCCATTTACATGCATCAGCAATACATGAAAAAAAAAGGGCTGTCGCTTCCTCCTCCATCTTTGAGTTCTGCAACAAAAGCCTTCTGTCACACAGGAAGGCGCTTCATGACTCAATTAAAGGTCCCCCATGGAGTATTTGACACATTTAAACAATGGGTTCCTGTGCACATGCATGCAGGTGACGCCTACTACATAACCCTGCAAATTGCTTGACAAATTAGCCACAAATCTTTAGGTTTTTGGTGATGTGTTAAGAGATGCATGACGCACAAAGACAAGGGAAGGAAACGAGAGCTTGAAAATAAACCTAAACATCAGACTGTGAGCTCTGTAGGTTTCAAATGTCTAAGAACCCTTCAGGTCATTCATGAAGGATGGGTTGTTAGACAGGCGCAGAGCTCATAAGTTACCTGTCACATGTTTTGCTCCCTGAAATGTGACCTTCAGTTAGATGTTACCGAGCCTTCTCTCCTTCCTTCCACCATCAGTCACACTGCTGAACAAGCTAACAGCTAAACCTGACCCCTGTTGAATGAGTCCATGCACAGTACTTACCTTGTTTTCATTTCTTTAAGAGTTATTTCAGCCTGTGAGTTTTTATTCAAATGTATTACGTTGTTTGTTCAACACATGGGAATCCATCTATTTTATCGTGTTTTGAATGTCTTCTTCTCAGCTGATAGCATCAGTACAAGTCTGTCGTTAAACACCACAAATAACCTTTGTGGGCGAGTTTCTGATGTGAACAATGCCTTTTTTTTCTGAGTATCAAAGGGAGAAGTTGTCTGACATTGTGAGAGAGCTGTTCAAACCTCAGAGAGGAAGTCCGTTCAAGTGCTCGGCTGTACAAAGTGTCTGTCATAATCACTGGAGTGTTTCAGAAATGCTTCTCCGAACCCTTGAACTGTCCATGTTGGTTTCATATATACGACTAAATTAAAGTTTCTGTAACTGCAGTCAACGATGGTATTTAAAGGCTTTATATGCGATTTTTCACACTTAAATATAATAGAAATCCTCTAAAAAGTATATCCTCTGAAAATAACTCTGTGAGTAATGACTGTCTCTAATGGGTGTAACACCTGAGTCCCACTGTCTGTGATGTTTTCCGAGTTTTCCGAGTCATATTTTCAGTTTGTTTACATCGCCGGGACGGCCGGCCGACTCCTCCCCTCGCGAATAAAAGTTGTTTGATTGAGGGACTAGAGAAAAGAAGAATAACATACTGGACTCACTGCTTAACTGCGTTTCTAGATCACGCTCATTTCGGGTAAATTTACATGCAGTGTGAAGATACGAGCGTAATAAAGATCGGTGCACCGCGACTTGTTTTGGTTTCATGCTGGTGCTCAAGGGTGACATCTGCTGTATCAAAAAATCGCATATAAAGCCTTTAAAGATGTAAAATGCAAAGTGAAATTAAATACTGACTTTAGCAGAAAGACATAAGCACATTTAAGTGGAGGAAACTGAGGCAGAGATGCATCTACATAAGTCTTTCCATCATTGCAAAGCTGTCACTTGACCCAGTGAAGTATTCATCTGCCTCATTAATGGAGATTAAGGAGACAGACACAGTTCAAGCTGTCAGCAAAAGTAAGCATATGGTTGGTCGATTGATTATTTCTGGTTGCATATTCTAAATCACGACAATCAATGATTGTACGCTTTGACACTGAAGTCAAACATGGAGTGTGTGTTGGAAATTGTTACTCTACCTGAGATGTACATGAGGTCTCCATGAACTGATCCAGCGTGCCCGTAGTGAGGCTCCACCATGTTGTTCACAAACGTCCACTCGTTCTTCTTCAGGTTGTAGCACTCCACCGTGTCTGCACAAAGAGGCAGAGAGAGAGAGACGCTGATTCACGTTTGAGTTTTTCTTGTAAACTGTAGTCAAAGCATCAAGTGTTTAAAAAGCTGTATTGAGAAGATGTGGTGGTACAAGTACAATCACGTCTGTGTGAGAAACTTTAAACGCCTTTCAGGGATTGTTTTTTTCTTTCTAGCATTTAATCCTGTTGTTGAATTTGAGGTAGATCACAACAACAACAACAGTTCAATTTTTCTGCCAATATGTTTTTGTCTGTTCCTCATGTCCGTACTGAGCTCATGAACAGAGCATTTCGTTTTTCTGACCCCTCTACAGACTTTCTCCAGAATGACTTGAAACTGACAGATCTCGCTCCGCTTGAAGCCTTTGGCTCGATCGTAAAAACACAAGAAATGCGAGACCATTGGCCAGTGCCTGATGTGTTTATGAATTGTAATCTGTGATCATGACTCTGCGAACCATTTTGCACATTTTAATTGTTGTCTGCTCTCAACTTATTGTTTGTCCAAAAATGGAGCAAAAAATAAATTGACTACATTAATAAACTGACAGCTCACCAATCTCCCCTGAGGTGTTCCTCCCTCCGACTGCGTACAGTTTCCCCTTCAGAGCGCTCAGGTGGAAGAACGTTCTCTTCTCGTTGAGTGAGGCGATCTGAAGCCACTTGTCAAAGCGCGGGTCGTAGCGGTAAGCGCTGTCGATGGCCGTCTTACCTTTGGTGTCATAAGTGCTCTGACCTGAGGCGTGGATGACAAGCAGTGAGAGAGAGAGAGAGAGAGAGAGAGAGAGAGAGAGAGAGAGAGAGAGCGAGAGAGAGAGCGGTTAATAAAAGGAATTATGGATTATAACCAGTGAGTCAGTCTTGTTTTCAGAAATGAATTGCTTTATGTTTCGGTGGTTCAACTCAAGCTATATTCAGTGTGATCATCAGCCACTTGAAAGTCTGCCATTCTTTTTGAATTGGCTCACAATGAATGGTCCCATTTAAGGTAAAATGGACAGTTAATCAGGGTATGCTTATGGACGTGGCTACCTGTCAAAATCCTTAAATGGGGGCTCAACAACCAAAGGTCTGACTGCTTGGCGTGGCTGTTGCCCTGATAATAAACAGTGTGAACAATGCATGCTCTAACCTCCAACGATGAAGAGGAAGCCGCCCAGGAGAGCCACCCCATGCTGATAACGCGGCACCTCCATGGGCTTCAGCGCCTTCCAGTGACCCGTATTCTCATCGTACAGCCTCAGCTCTCTGCTGACCACCAGCTGCTGTCTCATCACACCACCCAGAGCCAGAATGTGCGTGGCGTCGGAGCGTATCTGTGTCCGCTCAGTCTGCAGAGCCGGCTGCATGAAAGGCATCATCTGGTAGTTGCTGGCCTCCAGCAGCAGGTTCACACAGGAAGTCTCGGAGCGCATCATGGAGTCTCCTCCCTCCTCGTCATCCTGGGAGATCCCGATCAGCTCACCGGGGCTCATCAGTGGGAAGCGTATATGACGCATTAGAGCGTAGACGGATGAGCGGCGACTTGGAGGGTTGTGGCCCAGCCATCCTCTGGCGATGTTGTAGAGCTCCACCTCAGAGAAACCCTCCAGAGAGTTACTGGACAGAGCGTTGGCCATGGAGGTTTCAGAGAGCTGGAGGTAGCGTCCGCTCTCCACCAACGCTGAGAGGTTCTGGCTCACAAACTCACCTGCAACAGAGGATCCACATTGATAAGTTCTGTTTTGGATCAAGCCTTGAATGCTTTAATTTGCTTTTAGTAACATGGTAACATCATGGACTCTACAAAGATAACATTCCTTGCTGGACAACTCAGGACTTATCTAAATAACTTTATGTGTACCTTATTCCATTTTACAAATTACATGTGAGAATGTTTTTTTCACATATCTGACATACTAAACTTTGGTTTAAACAGCTGGTATTAATGATGGACCAGTGGACCAATGGACTGGTTTTAGGATTTAGGAGTAGAACAACTGTAGGACACAAACTTTATGCCAACAACCCCTTTCTATATCATCCATATATTTATTAAGTTTAACAAAAGGTTGTACTCTTTTCTTCTGCTCACTCACCTATATTAAGCTGAACGTCCTCCAGGAGCAAATCAGTGGCGATGCGCTCCACCTCCACACAGTTATCAATAGTGATCTGCATGAACAACACAGGGAGGTTATAAGTTAAATCAATCTCTGCATGAACTTCCCTCTGCAGCCTTTATTTAGAGCAATCTCGCATCACTCATAAATATCTGAAAAAGAGACATCTGAGGAGAATGAACGTGCACATTAGAGGTCAGCCTCATTAAAAAAACAACACCCCTGAGGCAGCTTATTGAACGTGTCCTACAATCTTGAAGCTTTAATGAGCTTGACCTCAAACGTATCTTAAAATAACACCTGATGTTAATGAACTGAAGTGTGATGCCACAATACAACAAAAAGTCCCTCACCTCACTGCTGAGCAGCTGGTTACAGAAGCTGAGAACGGGCATGACCTGAAGGAAGTTTGCAGCCTCCAGTGTGTCCTGCAGATTTCCCATGTCCAGGCTGACTTTGGATGTGTAAATGAAGTCTATGATGTTCTTTAAACCTAACTTGGTGACGCCATGCAGCTTGATCTCTCTCATCTCCTGCTCCCTCATGCCTCCTGGATGAGAGAAAAAAAGAGGTGCAGAAAGAGGCAGAGACAAGGTGAACGAGCGAGTTTGCATCATTTTAGAGGATTTGTCTCGAGCAGGCAAAGTGTAGAGTCAGCATTATACAGAGACTGTAAATCTTGTCTGTTCAGACCGTTTGAGGATATTGAAATGACTGTTTTTTAATAATAGAGTCAAATGCTAATTCGTCTCTTAGAGCTGCAGAAAAAGGAAGTCAAAAGCAGAACAGAGTCCTACCTCTTTTCTTTTACTATACTGTATGTGCGTGTTAATATAAAACTGAAAGCATTAGTAACAGCTCCCTGAAAACAGAGAAGTTTAACTCAAAAATGCTGCTCTGAGTGTAATGTGTATTTACATAATATTCAAGCAAGGCTTCATCCTAAGTCAAACAATCCCTTCATATATGAGGAGAAAGGATCTCAAGAATGTCAACATTTAGAATGTCGACATTTACTCTGGCAGCAAAGTCTGTATATTAAAACATCACTGGTGGAAATGATCAATCACTAACAAAGGCCTGTTTCTTCTTCTTTATTTTCTTATCAACCAGACAGGGTTTCTTAAACATACAATGATTCCTATGTAGACAGAAACACTGACCTGTAAACATGGCCTTGAAATAATCACTAGAAGAAGCCATGATGACTCTATGCACGGGGAACTTTTCTTTGCTGTCTCCAGGAATCAAAATGACATCGCACAGAGTCTCGTCTCCCCGAAAAGTATCACAGCCCTAAAGGAAAATAAAAACATGATTTATCAGCAAAAATGTTGAATTTTACATAAGTAGGCGTAATTACTATTAGTGGAAAAAAAGCATGGATTACAACATGGGGACTAAGGACAAGAGGACCAGTGTGCATAAATAAACTCATATTTGTGGTAATGGATCACCTTTATCAATTGAAAAGTGTCCAGTAAAGGTTAATAAGTCAAACATATGTACCTGCAACACAGCTGCTCCATGTTCAGTGCTGCTAAACACCCGGCACAGGGGTCGGCGGGGCAGTTTGGGCTTTGTGGATTTGTCAGGGCGTTTCGGGGGCATTTCCAAGGGTAGGGGGAGAGAAGCCGGGGCTGCAGCTGGAGCCTGAGCCTGGGGTGGAGCAGGCCTGTCATCTATCAAACCAAAATTTAACAAAGACATCAAGAGATGAGAGAAAGTTATGATGCAGTTGTTGCAGCAGGACGATGAAAGTAGAGTATCAGGTTTGATTAATAACCACATCAGTAAATGGAGGTGAAGATGATCGGTGCTCACCTTGTTGAGCAGGAGGTCTCTCTGGCTGAGCTGGGGGTCTCGGAGGATCCCTTGACTGATGTCTGCCCAGACGAGACAACCTGCGGCTCAGCCTCCCCGGCCCGCTGTCATCTCCATTGCCCCTGCAAAGCAAATGGTCAATGGTCTTTTCTCGTCTTCTGACTACTCAAAGAGCTTTTACACTGCAGGGCACAACCTACAGATTCACACACTGATGGCAGAGGCTGCTGTGGAAAGTGTCCATCAGTATTAGCTATCCCATCTATACACATTTACACGCTCTGCAAAGCAGTGTGAGCAACTTGGGGTTAAGTGTCTTGCCCAAGGATACATCAAACATGTGGTTGCAGGAGCTGGGGATCGAACCCCCGACTGTCTGGTTGAGAGCCGCCCACATCTCCTCCTCTGTGTTTGTTGTTTCACTTTCAAACCTAACAAAATGACAATAAAATGTCTTTTTTTTGGCTGTTTGGCATGGTCGCCTTTAGAGTGTTTTTCTCTCAGCACTTCCTCACAGATTGTGCACAGAAACCACTTCCTTTGGTTGAACTAGCTGACACTTCATGACTTACAGCTCTAACTTTAAAGTGCTCTAATCTGAAGTTTTATTAATAGAGTGTGTTTCCTCTAAGAAGCCCCGCCTCCTCAGAGCGGCTTGTAAAGGTACCTGTTTCTGTTTTAAATTACATGTTGACCTGTAAAGGAGGAACCAGTTGAATCCATCATATACAGTACATACAGGTTAAAGTTTAATGACAGAGGACGCTCAACCTTTTATTGTTCATCAAACGGCAAAAATGTGTTGCATTTGATTTTGTCTCCTCTACAAAAAAGTAAGTAGTGGTCAAAGTTTTACATTGGACAAAGATCTGACAGACAGTTTGTAAGAAAAGCTGAAAACATTTCTCTGTTTTTTTGGTTCTTATATGGATATGTAATAAGATAAGCAAAATAAAGAGCCCTGCAAAGAAACCCATAACAACAGCAACCACACAGAACGGTTATGCGCTGTAAATCTCTGATTGATCAACGGGGCTTGTTATCAGGAAACCTCTGTAAACTTTGTGAGTTTGTCTATTACTTTAATGTGAGCTTTTGTTAAAAAATGCTTCATTTGTTCAGTAGTATTTCAAGATTCAAGGTTAAAAATACTTTATGGTCTATCACATAGTAACAGAAAATGACCGTCTGTTAGAGGTTTCACATAAAATCCTCAATTAATCAAACTTTATTTATACAGCACCTTTCAGACAAATTCAACAGAAGTTCAAAGTGCAGAAAATTAATTGACAAAAGGTCGTTTGTAAAAAAGAATCAGTCCTCAGTGATGCAGATTGTTTTCCTTTCTGCTGCACGCATGTAAAGTTCTGACAGTTAGATTTGGGTGTTTGATGATTCCAGTGAGTCTTGCACTTTGTGTTCACCTGCTGCATGTATGTGGACTTCTATGGATTTATGAATATGCAACTAACAGGGTCAGAGGGCTTAGATGCATGACTTGTAATTATAAAACACATAGTTCCTTTTCCTGTTGTTCCTGTCAGAGCATTAAACTTGAAATATAATATTACAGTATTTTGGTTCAAGGTGAAAGATAAAAAAATAATGTAAGGACAAGATCTGATGCAGTACAATCAGGACAAATACTTTACCTTTATATTTCATAAATTAAGACTCACATCCAGTGAGTTATAAATCCAATAATTCATATTAAATCTAACAAATAGGCTGCATTAACATCCAGAGGAAAAAAATTGAAATATAAAAAATACTGATCACTGAAGCTCAAAAACATCTTACCCCATGTCATTGGCGTCTTGGGGGCGGGGACTGTTGTTACGTCTGTGAGATCTCCTACATGGAGAGAAAAAAAGGTGTTTTAGTCGACACAAATAGTTCCCTTTTTTTGGGTTGTAGTTTGTTGTTTTGACTCAGAACTGAACTGTGAGAGGAGAAGCTGTTCGACTTTCTTGTATGTACACAAAAATAGAACAACTGTCCATTGGCTCAACTCTGACTACTTCTCTGTTTCTCATTTTGAAATTTAGTGAGAATTGTTTGCTCAGTATGATGTTGTAAAGCATTTTGTGATGACGATGGGAAACATCTGGAATTGTTTTGCTTGATAGATCAAACTACAGGTGTCAAGATCTCTGGGCTGATTTTTAGCTTTTAAAGCACAAAAGTTTTTTTTATTAACCTTTTGGAATAATCCTTCCAAATATTGGAAGCTAAAGGACAAAGACAAACTGTTTTGTTGCATTCAATGGACTCCGCTGAACTCTGTTTTCAGTCGAGGTGTCGAGCAGCTGGGCAGAAGTTTGTTCACAGTTGAAGCTAAGGGATGGCAGTTTAGATTTTTTTATTATTCACAAATGAAAAACATAATAGAAAATGTTACGGGGGGCGGGGTAATCGTCTAATCGTGTCATTTTGAAATCTTTAACAGGAACATTTGGAGAAGTTAATTATTTTATTGATGAATAATTTCTTCTTTTACTGTAACTTTCTACATTTTCACAACATTCACAAAACATTTTTACATTGTTGGGTGACTTTTATTAAACAAAAACAAATCATGAATCTATCCACAGTGTGATCTATCACACACGATATCGCTTGTAACTTTGCTTTGCTGTACTCAGTTTGTTTGGATCCCTGTTAGCTTCATCAAGCTTTTCTCCCCGGGGTCCGCAGTTGAAACTTTCACATTGTTTATCACAAGGCACAAAAATTACAACAACATATAGCACATCTACTTTAAAGGTTAATTTTTCAGGTTTTTAAACCTTTATTGTAGAGACAGGACAGTGCACAGCGTCAGAAACCGAGGTGAGCACAGAGCACATCTACAGTAATGAAAATATTTGTAATAATTTTTAAAAAATGTACATAAATGAATCCAAACTCAAAGAAGAGACAACACTAAGGCGCTTTCTTTTCTTTAAACTGGACTCTGTATTTTGTTGTATTTAACATATTTTGAGAGTTAATTTCATTCCAGCATCACTCTTATTGTTCCTGAACACTGAGATGATGATTCAACTTAGGAAGAATTAAACAAACCTCCCACAGCACGCCTTGTTGCATTATGGTGTCTGTACTGAGGGATAACTTTTAGTGCAAATTAAAAGTAGTTTGAGTTGTTGTGACTTTCTGTAAGAAGAACATCAATGGATACTATAATCTATGTTTCACTTCAATCCAAGCAGAGGCCACAACTTTTCATTTCTTCTTGAAAAATGACATTTTACATAAAAGAAGTGGATATGCAGTGACATGCATGAGCCGGCTCTTTATGAAGCGACAGGTGTACCAAAGACAGACAAACACACACAAAGAAACAGGCGATTTGAAATGCAGAAACACTGCATGTTTCTTCCTGTTCAGCTTTAAAACAAACCTATGAAAAAAAAAAAAAGACACCTGTGGGTGACTTACCTGGAAGAAAGCTTCCGCAGCAGACTGGACCCGAGTCCTCCCTCCAGCCTGATGTTGATACCAACCAGATCTTTGAGATGAATGCGGAGAAGCACAAAATGTCTGCTGCACTCTGAAGCATCTGTGCGAGAGAGTTTCTTTGCCTTCACCGAGACCTCAGTCACTTCCTGTGCTACTTCTCTTTTTCTTTTCTACATCTTCACACACCCCACCACATCATCACACACTGTTAGTGAAATAAGCAAAATGCTTTACAAGCTGTTGTGTAATTTGTCTTTTGTTTCTGAGAAAATTGGCTCACTAATAGGTCCTTGTAACCTTAGTGGAGGACTATGTTGTTTAAAAAGATGAATTTTACATTTAATGTTGATTTTTCATTGTATACAAGTGAAAAATCTCTTATCAATGACAAGAGGAAAATGGTTGTTCAGCCTTCTAAGAATGGAGTTTTCATTTTTTTTGTACTTTGAAGTAGCATCCAGATCAGGTTGTATGAGGTACTTTTCAACAGTTCTTTATTGCCTACAGTAGAAGGTCTTCATCTCGGTCCTAGCTTTAAAAGGCAGAGTGAAGTGCTGACATGGATGCACAGTCAGACTGCCTGATGGCACGATAAAGTAATAAAAATAGGTCAAATTAAATGTTTTTAGGTGGCTTCAACATGAACTTCTACTGCTCCCATCCATTGCAGTACTTAGCTAAGTTTCCCTGCAGACTCTGCAACTTGCTTCTTCCAACCATGGGCAGTTCTGACACTTATTTACTATACTCACTGATTTGACTGTTACTGTGATGAGTGACGTCACCCATCTGTTCCTGCAGGGGGCTTTGGAGTCCCATTGATGGCAGTCACCATGATGGAACTCCTGTCTCAGCCTAACTTTCAGTCAACTTAACAACAGGCTGAGATCTGCAGCTGAGACGGGGTTTAAGCCTCCTGACAAACCGTTACATCGCACCCATCTGTCAATCAGGTCAGCTACACGCCATTTTTGTGAATAACTCTTATCCTTCATGAAATTACATTTTATGAGTTATCAAAAATTCAACCCCGTACAGTGTGTGCAGATCGAGACGTGAGCTAATCAGATCTATTTTAATGAGTTAACCAGGCTGTAACTTGTAAATTCTGCTGTAAAACAGCTTTTTTGAATGGGTGTTTACGTGACTTCTGGTGCTTCTGCAGCCAGCCTCAAGTGGACACACGCAGCATTTTGCACTTCTCCATTGGCTTCATTTTTCAACACCAGAGGTTGCAGCTTGGTGCGACCTCGTACGACCCCTCTTTAAAAAAGCTGAATGTTCTCAAACAGAATGGCTTTTGGTGTTATATTTACTTGAGTTTAAATCTGGAAAACCAAAACCAAAAAAGAAGGACAGATCAAGAAAAGATCAACACATCTTCATCACCTCAGCTGGCCTTTATTCAACCACAACCATGGCAGCATTCACTGGCTGTAGTGTAGGTCATCATGATCAGTTGCATCTGTTACATCAAACCAAAAGATTGACTCTCTCAGTACGCCTGCATCCCCTCCAATTCAAAAGCAAAATCACTTTCAGTATCAACTTGCTTTATCTGCAGTCGGCCCTCAGTTTTCCACAGACACTCTGACATGCTGACAAATAAGATATCAAAAGCTGCTTGAATGTTTCCTGACATGATAAAGTCGTGAGTTTTGTGCTCTGTCAGTCTCTCTGTCATGATGGAGAGTCTCAGGCCCGGTGGTTTCTGTTCAGTAGTGAGTCCTTTTTCAGTGGGTGCTGTACTGTTATTGTCCTCAGTGCTGCCCTCTACTGGTCTGTTAGAGTTTAGAGAACTGAATGAGGTTCCTGTTGATTTCTGCCACATTCCTGCAACCTGGATCAGAAAATATAACCCTTAATTGTTGCTTTTGTGGAAATAGAATATAGCTGCACTTATCCAAAAAAATAAAAATAAATCCAAACTTTCATTGATTTGAGTGACTTGATCTCTCATTTCTCACCTGATAGAGCCATGGACAGACGGAACTCATCGTTTAAGATTTGCAGTACTTCCCTTACTCCTTCCTCCCCCTGAAACGACACAGATGACCATAATGAAGATATAGGCCAAACGCAACCTGTCATGTCTACAACAATCAAAATGAATAGTAAATGGACTTGAGTTTGTATAGCGCTTTTCAAGAATGAAAAAGTGCTTTTACACCGCATGTCACATCTACACATTCACACAATGAATGTAACTAATCCCATTCAGAGACATTCACATGCTGCAGACAAAGCAGCGGGGACCAACTCGAGGTTAAGTCTCTTGCCCAAGGGCACATTGGACATGTAGCTGCAGGAGCTGGGGATTGAACCTCTGATTTTCCAGTTAAGAGATGACCGACTCTACCAACTGAGCCACAGCCAACTCCAATAAGAATGAGATACTTGTTTGCTGCAGATGAGACTGATAAAGCCGTTCTTTGAGTGGGACTCTTTATCCTCCCCCACAGAAGGGGCTTTGTTGATATTAATTCATTTAGAAGGAGACACATTTCACGGATATATTTTACATCTGAAAGCACATCATTTCTACAACAGGAGCTTAACTGTTCTACTAAATGTTATAAACCTGAAACCATGGCCAAGGTTCCACCAATTAAACTCACTATCAAGATAAACTTGTTCCCTCAAGGACTGAAGGAAAGTATGTTGAGGTTTAATTTATCTTAACAAAGCATTATAGCGATAAGCTTTGTTGTTTGTACCTTGTATGCAAGGCCCCACACGGCTGGACGGCCAATGAAAACACACTTTGCTCCCAAGGCCAGCGACTTCAGTACATCACTTCCTGTCCGGATTCCTCCGTCCAGATAGACCTCGATCCTGCCCTGGACCGTGTCCACGATCTCTGACAGAGCGTCAATCTGTCAGCAACAGGAGGAAAGAAACAAGGTCAACGTACCTAAAGCAACAGTTTAAAGCCTCCTGAAACAGACGTTATAATATTAACAAACGACTTGCTGGGTTTTCTCAGAGTATGACTTTGTTGAGGAAAATCATGACTATCTAAAATCACAACAGGCTCATAGTAGCTGCAGTACATCTAAGTTCTACCACAAGCACTATTATTATTCTGGGGACGTTACATGAAACTCTGGGAATATGAGATACATTAGTCAAGAACAAAAACTGAGATCTACTCATTATCACAGGAAAACTGAGGAAAGCAAATGTGTGGATGTGTGTCTGCTTTGGGCTTCCATACAATTTCTTGCATTAAAATGTTTAGTCTAATAAGGGACACCGCTATTACTTCTTATTTCTGTTACTTTTAGATGTGTACTGGACCAACTGCTTCAAGAGACACACCACAACTTCTACTACTTATGCTGCTGACTTCTATTTGAATTACTCATTCAACTTCATTCAGTCAATACAACCACAAGCATCGATACTACTTTGACAAATCCTACAGTACAGACTTGTTTGCACATTTGAATCCCCGTCTGTAAACAAAACACAAGAATCTCAATAATAAAGTATAACTTTTAAAGAAACACAGTCAGTCAGTACCGAGGCCGGGCCTCCGTCCAGCTGTCTCCCCCCGTGGTTAGACACAATGATTCCCTGGACGCCGTGCTCCACAGCCAGCTCAGCGTCCTCCTTGGTCAGGATCCCCTTGATGATAATGGGCAGGCGGGTGATGGACTGGAGCCAGTACACGTCCTTCCAGCTGATGGAGGGGTCCAAGGTGTTGGCCGGGATCCCGTACTCCTCGGGGCCTGCCGTCTCCTGCTTTTAATACATGTGGTGGAAATAAAACTATAAGAATCTACAGGAAAAACACGTGTACCCAGGACTGCTTCTTCTGCTTTCACCTTTACTGATATCTATTTATCTCTAATGCATGCATACTTCATGACATAGATGCACAGACTGTATTTTTGTCTCTAGGGATGTCTCAATCAAAACTATTATAACAATTGCAGATTTTTTAGCTTTATGCTAAAATCTTTCTATTGTCCGATTGATTCTTCTATGTTTTTGCTTTTCAATATCATCTAGACTATGAATATGTAATACCATTACCTGAAAGACTCCATCAAAGTTCTTGACCTTGAGGTGTGGAGGGAGCTTGAACTGGTTGCGGATGTCGTTGCGTCTCTTCCCCGTGTAGGGGACGTCCACGGTGAGGACCAGCGCCTTGTAGCCGAGCCCCTCCACACGGTGCACGATCTGTTCAGACAGCTTCCTGTCCCGGTACACGTACAGCTGGAACCAGCGGTAACCGTTTGGTGCCGCTGCCACGATCTCCTCCACTGAGCAGGTGGAGTAAGTGCTGGTGATGTAGCAGGTGTTCAGAGCCTCTGTGGCTGTGAGGCGAGAGATCAGAAAGCATTGCTGTGGTCATTCAAGTTTGAGTTCACACGTTGAGATTGTCAGTAAAAGCTAGATACTCTGTGGGGAGCGGTCTTACATAACACATGTCTCCTCTTGTGTCTGCTTTCATTTATCAGCAGTATCAATTGTACTAATCAGTCAGTGTGTTGCCTTGGAAAAGATTAACTCCACAGGAATATGGCTGGATGATTGTTTGATAAAACAGAAGAGAAAAGACCAACACTGTACCATCCCCACAGGACAAGATTATTAAAAGAATATGCTGCCATCTAGTGTTGGAAATGTATACAGTCATTGTTTTTGTTAACTGTTTTTTGACTGTTTAATCCAAACTTGTCATGAACATTAAAATATCAAATTAATATCTCATCAAAGCAGGACCCCAAAACCCCTCAATTTAACTTTAAATGTTGACGTAATGTCAATGTTATCCCTATATGTATCTATAATTAAATTACTCACAAAAAACCCTGATGCTTGTACTTGAGCAAAACCAAAACGGACTGTTAAACTATCTCAGAAGAAGTTCAGGGAGAAATCCTTTAACGTATCAATAAATACTGTTTGCTCCAATTTAGAAAAAAAAAAGTACATTGATTTAACTTTTCCAATGATTAGGTAGCCATGCCTAAGATGAAGGTTAAAAGGTCCAATCTGTAAGATATCTACCGAGTGAAATGATAAAGTGACCTTACTATCTGATCAGACATTAAGGAAACATGCTATGCTGAAGTGCTGGCTTCTCTGACGACAATGCAGCAGCCAGTATGTCCTCCTTCTAACTTTAGATTCTGGTCCTGAATGCTCTGGATTTGTTTGGACCAGAGAAGGTAGGCGGTTTTAAGGCGCCCCCATATGGCCCTTTTGGACGCCCCTCAGTTTGCCAGATATGAGAGCAGTTATCAGATCAAACCAACAGGTGTTGCAGCGATGGAAGCAGGCAAGAGAACTGGTTCAGACAGAAGTGATTATACCCGACCTCAAAAGCCTCTGCATGTTTCTAATAAGCTCCACGAGCAGAAACGTGCTCAAACTAGGATCAATATTGGAAATGCTTTTGAAAAACAGGCCGATGCATTTGTGGTTTAATACTGAATACTCAGTGTCCGCAACATGGCGACATACCTGCACATTGACTCTCGGGAGGAGCGGGGAGACGTCTCTCTCCAATGTTTTGCATTTAGACTGCAGTACCCGTTTTGAACACTAGATGTCAGAGTTACATATTGATTGCTCTCCATGTCAGTATTTCCAAAAATCTCGAGAAATATTTCAGAAATGTTTCAGTTAAGCATGTCTCCTTTTGTGTTTGGCTTCTGTTAACTCCTAACCATCTGACTCAAAATGTTCTTTTACTTCGCTCACCTCGAGCTGTGGCCACCTCTCCTTCATGCCAGGCCAGGCAGTGAAAGGCAGTGGGTGCTATACCGACTGGAAAGCTGATTTCTGTCCCCTGCACAGTGGTCCGTGTGTCGCTCACTGACACATCCCGCAGGATACGAGGCCGCAGACGGATCCTGAGTGAGAAGCACGGGCAAAACAGTAACATTTCATTAGATCAGGACAGCATGTCAAATATGTTTGTGTTTGAAATATTCCCTCAAAAAACATCTCACTTCTTCTAACAAACAATTGTACAACTCTTAGACCTTTTAATATACGTTCCACTTGTTTTATTTAAAAAAAACATTGATCATTTTTGCAGTACACAATCCAACCTTTACTCCCGCTGGAAATAAATGTATAACCTGACCTCAAACACACCAGCAACAAATCAGCAAGGTTTGTGTATCTAAAACATAAATGTTCAAAACACTGACAGAGAGGAACAGCAGATTAAATGTTTTCATGAAGTCATTCAGAGAGCTAAGATACATGCATGAAGAGAAGCAGAGAAAAAAACACTGCCCTGGATTTTCTTCCTATAAAGCAACGTTTAAAACAGTTCCTGACTAACTCCAGGGGGGCGGAGCACTGATATATATCCTGCTGCTGATTGATAACAATACAACAGCCTCACATGAGTTTAAGTTAAAGAAAGAATGTTATTTGACATAAAACCAGGGATGATTACAGGTCTGTTTGTATATCAAGACTGTTTTGTGAATAAGGATCAGAAATACTGTATTTATCCTTCAATGAAATGTGGTTGTTACAGCTGTTCTTGTACACAGTATAGCAGTAGGAAATAAAGTAATATTTGGGCAATAGGAATTAAATAATAATAAGCAATACCAACAAAAAGTGAAGAGTACTTAGAAAGCACACTCTGGACCTGCACCAAAGTATATTTATGACTTCCTCCCTGACTCCTTACTACCCGGTTGTAACCTGACGTCCTCAGTACTATTGGTTCTGCTAGCCATCCTACAATCAAGGCTGAGGACCCAAAGGTGACCGGGCCCTCTCCGTCAGGACCCTTTCATCTTAACTGATCTACTTGTCTTTACATTGTTTTATTAAACAATCACTTTTCACTCTTGTGTTGTCTCATCCCCCATCAACTCATTTTTTTATTTTTAATAATTGTCTTCCTCACATTTCTTTTTTCTTTTCATTTAATTTCATTAGTGAAGCACTTTGTAGCCCTGTTTTGAAAAGGCACTATAAATAAAGTTTATTATTATGATTTTATTAAAAGAGCAGCCTTATGAGTGTCCCTTACACAGACATAAAGCTGCTGCACAGGCCACATAGAAATAAATCATTCCAGCTGAAAATGCACTATACTGTACAGATCTGTATTATTCTAAAAACTCTGATGAGTCAGCGCTAACATTTGGACCATTGTACTGTGTCTTTAAATGTGAATACACTATTGAGACGCATACAGCTGTGTATTTGTGATAACTTTAAATTAAGTAAAGGCCTGATTTCTTCCACTGTACCTCTTGTACGCAAGCAGATTGTCGTCCCTGGTGCAGCATTCGTCTGCCCCAGCAGCGTAATAATCCCAGGTGGCCTTTGAGAGATGCTCTTTTGCATACTCCTCAAAGTCTGTCAGACAAACCATAGCCATCTCTGCACAGCGACCCCCCCTCTCTGTGTGGGTACAGAGGACATTGGTTATCAATTTAAACATTAACAGAAAAGGAATGTGACACTTAGCAGAAATGAACATGAATTCTTAAGTCTTACATATTTTAATTAACATATGCACAAACACGTTGAAGAATAAAACTTCTGCATTCAGACTATCAGTACTGATTGCTTAAAGCTGCAGACCCAACACAGCCAGTTATTTATCACAACATGTCACTGCACAGACAACCAGTCCTCCTGTGTCATCTGGAAACTGCATTTTTTTTTTTATTTGCATGCGAGGAGAATAGCTGCAAGCACAAACAACAGAACGGACACTTCAAGTACAAAATAAAAAAACACTTTTCATGCAATGACTCAGCTTCAAGACTTACCACAAATGATTGATTTGTTTCATGAACAAAATCGCTCACACGCACATGACAAAGCCTCCACGAAGGACTGAAGTTGCAACATCTCTGCTCAAAGTGTCACTGCCCCCCCCCCCCGTATCAGCAAATGTACGAAAACCCTGCAGTCAACAACTCAGCTTTAAACTGACCTGCCTGAGTACATAAAGTAACTCCTTTTTTCCTTTTCTGTGAAAATTAGAATACATATCAATCCTTGTCTGTTTTATTCCTCAGTGTTGCTGTTGTATCAGTCAGAATTTAACTTGAACAGAGAGATGATGAAAGCCACGTACAGTGTGTGTGACCTGAGAGAGACCCCTGCTCTTATTGTGTTTACACAAGCTGGAAATGTGCTGATGGTGACTCCGACTATAGTGAGGACAAGAAGCGTCCGACACAGTGCTCTGTGGTCCACATGCATACACATTAACATGCTGTATGCAGCACACACACATTTATAAACTGAGCTTTTTTTTTACAATCTTCTCTCTCAAATGACTTCAATTTTCTTTTTTTTAAAGCTGCTAAAAATCAAGAGGTTCAGTCTGAATCATGTCCACATTGACAAAAAAAAGGAAGTAATTCTGATCTCTACACAACAGCTAACATTGTGTCCTTGCAACCAAGAATTTGGATCCTCTTTAAATAAATACTGCAAAACCACCATTTAAAAATCCAGATAAAATACTGACAAGATTTAACTAAAGTTACTACACTAGTAAAGATAAGTTGCTTTCAAAACGTTTGATTTAATAGGCTTTTAATGGGCCGATTTAATTAAAGCAAAGTCAATATTTTATTTCTAAAAATAACTACAATTTATGCAAATGATAATTTATCTTCTACAACCAGACCTAGTTCAAATTTGAACACAATTTAAAAAATATTCAATAAATGCATACATTTTTACAGAATAAAAAACGAATATGAGAAAGTGGAAGAGTTGAACATTTCGACATTTTTTTCCACAACTTAATTTTTCTTTCTTTATGTTGGTTTTCGGTGTTTTTGTGACGCATGTTATATGTCCTTGACTGTAGCCTACCTTTACTTTGCTGTCCTTCTTGACATGACACCAGTAGAGGAGATATTGTATTGTATCTTAATGTTAACTGTAAATTAGGTGGGCTATATAAGAAGAACTCTGTTTTGAAATGTTTTGTTTACAAGGTGTTTCCCTCAATGAGCTGATTTAAGCTATTTTAGCAGGTGATAAACAAACAGAAGTCAAACAAATACATTTATGTGAGATCAAATCTTATTGATTGGGGCTATAGTCAAGTCGGTATTACCAGGTAAAATCACAAACGGCGTCCATCAACCAGCAGTGATCATTAGTCGACCAGAGAGGCGGAAGTGGTGTACAGTTTTCTCCGGTGTTATGCCAAGAAATGCATCCCTTCCAAAAATTAGCACCTCGTGACAGTGTTAGAAAACGGTCGTACATCTTTTTTTTTTTTCTGGGGGCAGATTTATAACAAAAAACGAAAGTGAAGTTTTTACTTATTTGTCTTTAAAGTTGATAGAAGACGCATTTCATCCTCCAACAAGTAAGACATCAACGTCCTTAGCAGACTGTTAAACTTTTTTAATTCACAGATAAGAATCCATGTAAGTATCTTTAAACTGAATTGTACGTTTTGAATATAACTTGTTTATTATTTTTTTTCTATCCACTCAAAGTTTATGACTTCAAACAACACTGTGAAATGTCAAAATCAATCACTCATATAAGCTAGTTTGCTCATTTTAGTTGCTTAGCAACCGTGTGCCCACTGTTGAGTTAAACCTAACAAATTATATTCAAAGTCAGTATTTGGCCCGAATACACTTTATATAAATGTTTAAAGATAAGATATGTTTATTGTCACTGTACAAGTACAACGAAATATTGTTGGAGCAAGCCTGTAGATGCCTAATATCAGAAATATACAAATACTAAAACCAAATATTCAAATAAGAAATACAATTAAATAAGACGATATAGTATACAATATTCAATTAATTTGCAGGCGACAGGTATAGAATAAATATATTGCAGTTGTTATTATTAACAGTAGTCTGCTTTAACTAATGGTTAAAAATGAATGACCTTTGTTCAAACAGGACTCTGCAGGTAACACCCACACCTCCTGTAGCTGTGACTTTATGAAGCTACTGACTATTTGAAGAAGACGAAACAAGATGAAACAATCAAAAGTAAGTTAAATATTTCAAAACCTTTTTGTTTTTCTCTGATGTTCCTCACCAAAATGAGCAGTGTTCCCCTGAGAGCGTCTCCTAAAATCTGGTTACCTATTAAAAAAGTTAGCATGCTATATTCCTCTTAATTTAATACTCATTTTCCAGTATTAACAAGAAGCTAGAATTAGAAAAACATCAGTCACAGCATACAACAGGCTATATTTAAAGTGAGAATGAACAAAAATACTACACAAAAAGACCATTTATATGAGTAGAATAAAATTCTAAATACAGCCGACGTTGAAAGGTAAAAGCCAAAGCAACTTTTGGGTAAGCCTGACACTGCAAAGTTTCAGCAGTTGTCAAAGTATATATTAATTGCCAAGGTCTTAGGTGGTTCTGAAATGTGTGATAAGTTGAATAGTCAACTTACAGAACTTAAATCGACAGTAGTTTTCCAACAAGTTCATTGAGTTGATAATTTACTTATCAAAAGAATACAAAGTTCTTGAACAGTTACTTCACAACAACAGAGAGTAGAGTACAGCGTCTCTTTCTTCCTCTGACGCTGCTTTGTGCTGTGTCTGTATACTTTGTATCACTATAAGCAGTGATCAGAGTATCCCCTTTGGCTGTATGGAGCCAAACTGTGCATGGACAAACTGCACAGGCTGTTGTCATACAAATAGAAAACATACTAGCTTGTTGAACATTTCCAAAATGTCTTTAATAATAATAACTTTCATTAGCTGATTTTTTTTTTGTTATGCTGTGGTGTCAGAGTTCAAGGTGATTCCATTCATCAAACAAAAATGATAATAATTCAAGGTTAAAAAGAAATAAATATCAGTGTTCAAAACTACTAAAGATAACAGAAATATGACGATTCAACAAAGCTGTCATGGCTCATTTCTAACACTCAACAAACAACTTTTTATAATCAGCAAAACAGATAATAAAAATACACAATGACCATGACAGTGTCTCTTCAGCAAATCAGCAAAACTAATACATTTAAAAAAATAAAATAAACAAGTAGATCCTGTTGTGTCAATAGTTTAAGAGTATGTTCTCTCTGACCAAATAGACAGTCGTTAATGTGAGCAGGCAGAAAGCAAGCAGACATTTACTCACCGATAACTTATACTCATTCTCTCTCAGCAGGACTGTTTTCTCCTGGCAGACTCATAACCTGTGAACAGTCCACAACATAAAGACAAAACACAGGAGTTTATCAATACTGCTTTAACCACGCTTCAAATACTCTATATTGGCTCTACTACTACTAGAAACGACGGGTATTAAGACTTACCACTTCTGTATTACACTTCTGTCAAAACCACCTCCTAGACATAGATAACCCCATCCTATTTTTAGCTATTAAACCAGCTTTACTGTAAATCATAGCAAGTGTTGAAATAATTATGAATAAGCTTTGGAGGCAGGGTGTGTGTAGGTTATGCGTGAACATTTAGCAAAAGACAAATCAACAAACACTAGAGAGCACCTAAATCATTATCCCTGTATTTAAATTATGCTTGGACATGTTTAAAAAAAAATGATGAACCAACAAATCCTCTTTAAGCTCTACAGCACACACAGATGTTATGTGGTAAGAAAAGACATTATAATACTATACAGTAAGCTTTCAACTCTGAACACTTGAGGGCAGTACGATACTGAATGAAGGCCCATTCTTAAAGCTCCAGTCAACTTCTATAAAGAAGGTAAACATAATCTGACTCTAAACTTACTGTCTCTACTAAATAAAAAAACTGACCTCTGGTTTAAGGACTGTTTCAGTTGTACACATAACGTTAAAATACACACTTCTGGTAATCTTAAACACCTCAATCACGCTCTATTTAAAAAAAAAAAAAGTTTTAGCTTTTAGTGTAAAATGGGACATATTAAAAAAAGTTTTAATAACAAAAACATGTTCTGTTAAATGACACAATTACTACATTTTCATAGATATAATATGCTTAATTTTCCTGACATTTATTGTACCACCAGGCAGTTCTGCTTTCTCGTACTAAAATGTTTTATACTATCGGTTTTTCCCAGTGTGTCTGCGTGTGTGTGTGTGTGTGTGATGAATGTGAGCCTCTGTCCGGTGCAGGCTGTGAAAGGTGTCCAGTGAATGGGCTGCTGAGGGCACATTGTGCAGGTGAATTCTAGAACACCTGGTGTATGGTATCTAGAGTGCTATGCTAAACAAGCTGAGGGTTAAACCAGCTTCTGTTACATTATTTGTTTTTGTCTCTCAGGCCTGCTTAGATAAACTAGTGAGGAGGCCTGTAACAGTAAAGATAAACACATCCTAGATGCCATTTTTTTATGTATCTAGTTAAAAAAACAACTTTTTACAGTTTACATTTGGATAAAGGTGATACAGTAGAATCCAGAAAAG